TACTGGTGTGGTATTAAGAAGAATTACTCCACTGATCAACCCAACCTGTTTGCAAAGTTCCTTTGCTTTTAACAAAATTTAAGAAATACTATACTGGAGTTACCAGCTGACACATGATCAAACATAATTTTTCAAGGCAGAACATTATTTGATTTTTGGCAGATAACTCTAAAGGAGTTAAAAAAAATTGAGTGGCATGCCACATGAAAAATACTTCCATTTGTATCTGCTTATTTATGTGAACAAGGTTTTCAGCACCATGGCCTCACTTGAGGCCCTCATCTCTTGCTTAGAAAGGTATCCAGCCTGGTCTTCCCTATTCCTATTTTTCTTACTGCCTAATGTATTACCACTATTACCAGGTTATCTTAAAAAAAAAAAAAAAAGTTAAAATATAAGTTCATGGGAACTTATAAACCTGCTTAAAAATATTCCGCAATTTCCCTCTACCATTAGATTTTTTAAAAAGAAAAAAAAAATGCAAACACCTCAGGCTGGTATTCAAGGCTTCCCACTACTAATTACAACTCACTTCCCTTCATACCCCACCCTCTCCCTACAACCCACCATGTTACATGTGACACTACTCACCATATCCCAAACCACCATGCCCTTTCACTCAGAGGATTCTGAGTGAATCCTTCTGGACAGCCCTTCTTATCTTTCTTCTTTGCCTGAGAAACTCCTACTCATCATTCAAGACACACCACAAATGCCATGTCCTCTGACCAGCTTTCTGGAATCCCCAGGTAGAATTAATGGCCCTATTCACTTTTTGACAATCATTAATGGAGCATCTTATGCTGATTTTTAGAGATAAAAGGTGAAACAAGACAAGGGACTGTCATAGTCTTGTGAAGACAGAAATGTTGTCTGATGAGTTACCATACATGGTTTATACTTCTACCAAGAAGTTACATCATTGAGCTGGAAGAACACAAGAACAGATGGCTTGACAGAAGGAAGGGACATAAAATGGGCACTGACAAGTTGAACTTTGCCAGGAAGAATTTAACGCTAATAAAAAGTACAGGTAAGACTCAATTCCAGGTCTGAGATCAAGCTGAGGACAGTGGTTAAGAATGTGGGCTCTAAGGGAAAAAAAAAAAATGAATATGGGCTCTAGGGTTATATCACCTAGTTCAAATCTCAGCTCTAGCACTTGTAAGTTTATAGAACATACTTAACTTTGTTAAGCTTCTTTTTACTCAACTGTATAATGGGAATTACAATAGTGCTAATACCTCAAAACAACAGAACACTGTTATATTAAATGAAGCAATGCACATACAAGATATAGCCCAGGGGCCTTGTTTATGATAAGTAAACATTATATAAATGTTAGCTTCTTTTATTATCATTAGTAACTATTATGATATACTATCTTTTTTGTAACACTAACATTTTCTGTTATATAAATTGTTTTTGAACCTCAATTTCCTAGTTTGCAAAATGGGGAGACTAATTGCCTTACATACGTAGTAACTTTAGCATTATGCTAAGCACATAATAAATACATAAAAACATCTGTTCTTTACCCAAGTTAAATCAAGATCCTCACGTATACACATTATCTCCATCTGGCTAGTATAGCAGTAATCAAAGGTTAAGATAAACCTCCTATGGCAGTGGTTCTCAACCTTGGAATTACCGCAACCTTGGAATTATCGGAAGAACCTTAAAAAATTCTGATGCCTGAGATGCATGCCCATGGATTCTGGTTTCTTAGGTCTGGAGGTGCAGACATATTAAATGCTGCCTCGGTGACTCTAGAATGCAGGCAGGCCCTACAGTCTAAGCTAACAAAATGAGTCATTAGGCAGCAGCCTTAACATTTGATGCACATTCAAACAAAAAAGCAACCATAAGCAAAGCATGGTTGGTTCTTTTTGTTTTGCCAGAAAGAGTAAGAGCTTACTTGATTTTCATGTTAAAATTCTGAACTTAACAGGTAAATCAAACTTTGAAAAACATCTTAGAGAACAATTCAGGCATATTCTTTTAAACTCTAAGGAGTTACTTGGACTGAAAGCAACTCACATTCCTCTCTTATAAATTTCCCCAGATTTTTAACATACTCACTGAAGAGTACATTTTTAGAAAGCAAACCTTTCTCTTCCATTGTGCCCTTCTTTTAAGGAATAACTGAGCTGGTTTTTCAGAGCTGAAAACTGTCATCACTTTATCTACGAGTTTGTAAAGATAGGGAGTTTGTAAAACATGTCAATGCCCAAAGCCATACCCTACTACTGTAGGACTTTGGGCTTTTTCTCTTAAAAAGAGCTTTATTAAGGTGTAATTTAGACACAAAATACAACCACTTACGTGTAGAGTTCAATGAGTTTTGTCAAATGTATGCACTGTATACATGACAAGTACATCACCACCACCACCACAATCATCATACAGAACATGCCCACCACTCCGAAGTTTCCTTTTGCCCCTACGTAAATTTCCTCACCCACCAGTATTGGTCCCTGGAAACCACTGATCTTCTAGATTTCATTTAAATGGAATCATGAAGTATGAGTCTTTAGTGTCTAGATTCTTTCATTAAGAATAATGCTTGAAATCCATCCAATACTGTTGCTTGTATCAATAAGTTTGTTCCTTTTCTTTGCTGAACAGTATTCCATTGAATGGATGGATATCCCACAACTAGTTTATCCATTCACTAGCTGAAAGACACTTGAGTTGTTTCCAGGTTTTAGCTATTATGAATAAAGCAGCTATGAAGGTTTGAGTTCAAGTCTTCGCATGAACATAGATCTTCATTCCTCTTAAGTAAATACGTAGGAAGGGATTGCCAGATCAGGTGGGCAAGTATGTCTAATTTCATAAGAAAACAGACAGCTATTTGTCAAAGTAGCTGAAACATGCTGCACTCTCACCAGCAAAGCCTAAGAGTTCCAGTTTCACCACACTTCCTCCAACACTTGGTATTGTCAGGGTTTCTAACTAGAGTCATTCTAGAGGGTGTGTAGTAGGATTTAGTTTGGTTCACAGTGGCTTTAATCTGCATTTCCATAATGACTAATAATGTTAAGCATCTTCTCATGTGCTTATCTGCAATTCATGCAGCTAACTGGTGAAGTGTGGTCAAATTTTTTTTTTCTACAAGCTGTTTGCCTCCTTACTGAGTTATTTTGCAAAAATCCTTCCCGGTCTAGGCTTGCCTTATTTTCTTTACAGCATCTTTGAAGAAGAAAAGTTTAATGAAATTCAATCTATCAATTTTTTATGTGCTCTCTATAATTTTTTTCCTAATCCCAAAACATAAAGATTTTCTCCTATATTTTTCTCCAGAAGTTGTACAGTTTAGGTTGTACATTAGGTCTAAAATACATTTCTAGGGGCGCCTGGGTGGCTCAGTCGTTAAGCGTCTGCCTTCGGCTCAGGTCATGATCCCAGGGTCCTGGGATCGAGCCCCGCATAGGGCTCCCTGCTCAGCGGGAAGCCTACTTCTCCCTCCCCCACTCCCCCTGCTTGTGTTCCCTCTTTCACTGTGTCTCTGTCAAATAAATAAATAAAATCTTTGAAAAAAAAATACCTTTCAAGTTAATTTTTGTGTATGGTAAAATAAGGGTAAGAAAGTACATGAACATGAATTTTTTACCTTTACTTCACCACACAAATTTTTGTGGACTCACTCCTAACGGTTTTAGGTAGAATAAATCTGATGACTGTTGCTCTACCTTGGCCAGAAATGGAAGACCACTATTTGTTAATATAAGCTCCCCAAATGATGGCTATCCAATTGTTATAGCACATTTGTTGAAAACACTACCCATCCCCCATTGAATTACCTTGACAGCCTTTGTTAAACAATGTATATGGATCTTTTTCTAGATTCTGTATTCTATTGATTTATATTTCTGTACTTCTATCAACACCACACTGTCCCGAATACTATAGCCTTAGTTTAAATCCAACATTAGTCTTTTTTTTAAAAAAAACTGTTTTGATTCTACAAGATCTTTTGCATTTCCATATAACTATTAGAATCCCCTTGTCAATTTCTATAAGAATGGCTCCTGGGATTTTTACTGAAATTGCATTCAATTTACAGATCAATTTGGGGAAAACCCAATTATTGAACAATAATCAAAGAGCATAATATATCTCCTGATTTAATAAGGCCTTTATTAATTTCTCTTAATGTTTTAGTTTTCATCATATAGGTCTTACATATATTTTATTAAATTTATCCTGAAGTATTTCATATTTTCGATGTTACTACAGAAGGTATAGTCTTGTAAATTTCAAACGCCAAATGTTTGTTGCTCGTATAATTTGGGGCACCTGGGTGGCTCAGTTGGTTAAGCGTCTGCCTTCGGCTCAGGTCATGATCCCGGGATCCTGGGATCATGCCCCGCATCGGGCTCCCTGCTCAGTGGGGAGCCTGCTTCTCCCTCTCCCTCTGCCCCCTCATGCTCTAACTCTGTCACTATCTCTCTCAAATACAATCTTTTAAAAAAATTAAAAAATAAATAAAATCCAACGAATTTTGCACATTGACTTTGTAGCCTACAATCTTGCTAAACTTGCTTTTAGTTCTACCAGCTTCTCTCTGGATTCCTTGTAGGATTTTCTACATATAAGATCGTTATCTTCTGGGGCACCTAGGCGGCTCAGTCAGTAAAGTGTATGCCTTCGGCTCAGGTCATGATCTCAGGGTCCTGGGAGCCTGGCATCAGGCTCCCTTGCTCAGCAGGAGAGTTTGCTTCCCTCCCCCCCTTGCTGCTCCCCCTGCTTGTGCTCTCTCGCTCTCTCAAATAAAAAAAAAATCTTAAAAAAAAACCCAACAGATCGTATCTTCTGCAAATGAACTATTTGATATTGTCCCACATATCTGTTGCTGTTTTTTGGGTTTTCTCCATTCTCATTTTGGATAGTTTTTATTGTCATATCGTCCAAGTTGCTGATCTTTTCTTCTGAAGTGTCACTTTATATACTGTTATTTTTCATCTCTAGAAATTCTATATGGGTTTCTCTCTCTTTTTTTTTAAAGATACTCTGCTTCTCTCTTGTTTTTTTGTTTTCTTTTACTTTCTTGGACACATGGGCATTTGTAATATATAACAGCCTTGTCTGGTAATTCCACCATCTCAGTCATTTCTAGCTCTGTTTCTACTGACTGACTTTTTTTAGTTATGAGTTATATTTTCCTGCTTTTTTACATGCCTTGGAATTTTTGATTGGATGCTAGACACTGTGGATCTCACTTTTTGGTGCCCTGGATTTTTTTTACTTTTTTGAACAATGTTGGATTTTGTTCTGGAGATCAGTTAAGTTATTTGAAATCATTTGGATGCTTTCAAGGTTTGCATTTAAGCATTTATTAGGGAAGTCCAGAGCAACCTTTGGTGTAGGGCTAATTTGGCCCCATCACTAAGGGGACACAGTTTTGAGGCCTCTTCTCTGTGCCTTGTATATTGCAAGGTCTTTCTATTCTGGCTGGTTCAGGAGCATGAACTATTCTCAGACTTGTTATTTCCAATAATTTTTTTGTAAACTTTTCTGGTTGTTCTTTTCCAATCTCAGGTAGTTTCTTCACACACATGCACAGATGAGTATTTAATCAAAGACTTACAGAGACCCTTCTGCAGATCTCCAGAGCTCTGTCCTCTTTGTGTAACTACTTCTTCTCTGTGGCCTCCCAAGACTCTGATCTCTACCTTGTCTATGCAGTGAGATCTCCAGGCTCTGTTTGGGTTCCACGTCCTTGTACTGTAGTCCAGAAATTTCCCCTAGTTAGCAAGCTAGGACAATCAAAGGTTTACCTTGTTTGACTTCCTTCTCCATCATGGGGTCATAGTCTACCACTGCCTGTTGTCCAATGTCTGAAAATCATTATTTTTTATATTTTTTTCTGAATTCGTTCCTGCTTTAGGAGGAAAGGTAAATCCAATCTGCTTTACCTTGGCCAAAAGTGGAAGTCCACTATTTGTTAGGGTAAGCTCCCCTGGTGATTCTAATGTGGTTAATTTTTAAAACCAGTGAGTTAGTGGCTTTGATTTCCTTAATAGAAAATTTCAAAATAGGATACATTTTTTTCTGAGCTAGTCTTGGTGAGATTTGGAAGCCTGTGTCCCAAAAGTGTGTCAGAAAAGTTTCATTCAGAGAAATTTTTCACTTAAAAAAATGCCCAGTACTACTTTGCAAAGAAACTGAGAAACCGTTTTTGTTTAGAAGAAAGTTTCATATGCAGATGCTTGGCCTAAAATATCTACTAGAAGATACCACAAAAATAACTAATAATTTGGAAAAATCATCCTCTTCCTGAGGCATTCCAGAAAAACCCAATTTTTAAAATTTTTGTCTTACAGAAACCACTCATAAAAAAGCATGTTCAGTAGGAACAATAAATAACCATCAGTATAAAATCAGATAGTCACAGAATTTTACTAGTGTGACTTTCAAAAATCACGAACCTTGTAAACTAATAAGATGTTGCATAGGTTGTGCAAGCAAAACTTTACCTATCAGTAAAAAAAAATAAGTAAGGTTCTCTTCAGTACCAGTAAATTCCATTTCTATGTAGAGGTGTCTTCCCATCCCTCTAGATATCCCTCTGAAACTTACCCTTTTCCAAGTAAGATCTTGGAGCCCACGGTGGGTCCTCTTCAGCATAAGGATCACTATATTCAACCACAGCTGCTTCCTCCTCTTCATAATCTTCTGGGGGAGGAGGAGGCGGGGGGGACTCATCAAAGACTGGTTCTTCCACAGGTGGTGGTGGAGGTGGTGTATCTGAAACTGAGAATGTACCAAGCTGATAACAAAACTACACGTTATGCAAAGTTCACTATTTCCTATCCAAGCTTCTATATACACGGAATATAAATCTAGACTTGAAAATAATGACCTTTCAAAAAATGAGTGGGCAAGAGAAGGCTCCCCACCAACTATAATGTTTCAAATCTCGAAGCATGACTTTCTCCTCCCTTTGGGTGAGGACTGATGGGTGTTGAATAAAGCTTAGCCAAAACAGTAATTATTAAATGAGCCTCTTGGAACCTGTTTATGCTAATACAGAATCCTCTTTTTCAAAGAAAGAGATAAGTACAATATAGTTTCGTTTTATATTATATCCAAGGAGCAGTGGTTATCAGAAATATTAATAATTTGGACATGTACAAGCATATTTAATTTATAATAAATTAGAATGCGCTTGTGTATAGTCAAATATTAGCAATCTACATTCCTTTCAATGAACTTTTTTTAAAATAGCATTTTACCAAATTAGTGGAATGGAAATCACAAGACTTTGGGTAACTTCATCCATGAAGATGTTTGTGTTTGCTGTTTTTTATAGAGAAAGAGAATTTCAACTAATTCAGACTGATTTATGATCCAGAATTTCCTCAAGCTAAATATCCAAGAGTGACTTAAAAATCTCTCCTTGTGGAGATCTGCTCCCACAGCTCAAGTATCAGCATATAGTAACATCTAAAAGATTATCTCCAAACTCAGGCAACTCAAAGCTTTCAAAATGCTTGGTATATAACTGAGCACAGCTCAACAAAATAAACTGGGTAAAGCTGCATTTATCAGCTGCCCAATTTTATTTATTAATTCTTATTTATGAGGTACCAGTACTGTTTCTGTGAAATCCCCTGAGCAATCCTGTTTATTTTCTATCTGTCATCTAAGCCTACTGATGAATCTGAGAAGACTGCTGGTGTCTGGGGAGGACTGGCCACACCAGTATCACATTCTGTCCTATCCCAGTATTTTTCCACCTGCTGCCAGTCTACCTCCCAACCTCTCTGCTTGACGCACTTCAAAACTTTACCCATTAAAAGGGATTCTTTTACTCCTAATGGGTTTTTTAAATAAAAACTATAGATAGGTGATTTAGCATATATTTTATGACAAATTACATATGGTTGGGATAAGAATCAACAATATAACCTATTTGCACTTATAAGGTAAAGAGATTGACTAAACAATTACATAAAAACAAAGATCCAAAGGAACACTGTCTTTCAAAACAATCACCTTGAGAAATTACACTACAAAATTACTCAAAGATTCTGCCATTGCTTATTTTTACCATTTCTTAGAACACCTCAGAGTTAGTTTAATGAGATGGACATAAGCTACCATTTTTTACTTAAAATATTCCAATTACTCAGCTAGCACTTTCTGATAATTTCATTTAATCTTTACCTTGTGAGGTGTGTTTTTAATCCTCGTTTTATGGATGTGGAAACTGGCTTTCCAAGATTAAGTAGTCCTACACTAAGTAAGTGGAAGAGCAGGAATTTGAACTTCAGTGCCTGTTATCTTAAGAGATACACTATTATGGGACGAGATCAGTAACTTTAAAGTCGTGATTCACGATTATTCGTTTAACAAACATCAACTGAGAGCCTACTATGGTTAGCTACTATGCTCAACACTGGGACAGAGCAATAGGCAAAAATCACAGAGACATGGACAACCAAATTTTCACTAGTAATTACGTGCAGTAAGTGCTTTAAGTCACTATGGAAAACACAGCAACAGACCAAAACTCTTATGTAGGTCAGGAAAGGTTTCCTGAACCTGAAGAATAAGTAAGAGTTAATGGCCAGAGGGTAGGATGGAGTGAGGGTAGATATTTCATGTCAGATGTAAAGGAAAAAAAAATACAAAGGTAAGAAAGTAGGAACCCTTCAAAGAACGGGCCAGAGTTCAGTAGAAAGAGGCATGAGGAAGCTGAAGAGGACTAAGCAGGAAGGGCCTTCCAATAGTTTGAATTCTATCCAAAGAGCAATGGGGAGCCATAGAAGGATTATAAGAAGAATAATAGAATCATAGCTGCACTACTCAGCCCAGTATACCTGGTTCCAAATGATTCCAAACTGTTTCCAAACATCGATCTTATTACAGACTATCTGCTACCAGAGTATCTTCAAAATAGTATACCTGAAAACTATGAAGATAATTCTAAAAGACAAGTCTATATCTTTTCAAGGTGAATGTTTTGAAGAGAACAACATTCATTTGAATGCAGAAGTCTGCTGTGTCTGGAAAATAAGCCACAGCTCACCTCATACACAAAGTTTTCTTATTTTTATACATTTTGTAGGTGAGAAATATATATATATATATATATGACTATGGAAAGAAAGAAAAGACTATCCCAAAAGGCAATCACACTGCTAAATATTGGAGGTGCTCATGCTCATGGTTTACCTTCCAATAAGCAAAAGTTAAACTATTTTCAGAAGCTAGCAAACAGAGATGCAAAGGCACCTGAAAGAGACACTGAGCCCTTAGGCAAGTAAGACTGGATTATAACCAGTTAAAATACAACAAAGAAATGTGTCCATAAAAAGGAGGCATTTGGTTAGCTATAGAAGCACAAAAAAACAAACACAAAAAAACAAAATCCAGGGACTAAAGTGTCTGCTCTGTGTCAGATGCTTCTCTAAGTGCTGGGGAAACAACCAGCCAACAGAACAACCAAAAATTCCTGTTCTCATAAGAGCTCACATTCTAGTACCAGCAATGCCCATCGAAGAAGCAGGAGTCCTAAGCAACAGAGTGCAAACATTTCTACCCCTCTGGTCAGGCCATCCCTGTTACGAGATGCATACATTGGGCTTCTTCATACTGATGGCATTAAAACTTTCATTAATGTAATTCCCCTGGTTCAGATTCCATGCCCATCATGCAACCTGATGATTGTGATGTGGGCTCCTTGTATAGACCACTCATAAAAAGAGAATTTGTCTATCTTACGGACTATGTTCCCGGGTGTGTGTAGCAGCAATTCCTCCCTGAATGTGATACAGGCCTCCTGCTTTGTAGGTATCAGGCTCCTGAGCTTCCTTAATGCTTCCCTAGGAGATTACTGAATGGGTCAATAAAATTAGTTATCTAATCCTGCATGTCTCGACCCCAGACCACAGGCCAATGTAAATTCATCGCCAATCTTCGAGGCCTTTTGGGAGACAGACTGGCAATTTGGTCCCCTGAGTCCTACCACGGCATGGCCATCTTTATACCTGGAATCACAAGACTGGAGGAAGATGTTCAAGCCGGCCACAATACCCTACAACTCCAGTGATGGGAAACGGCTACTACTTGTTTGAGCAACCCCGAGAAAAAGATGGGATATGTGGTGACTAAGTAGCATCTCCTTGGTTAGATGTGGTCTTTCTTTTCTTACATGTGCTTTATTTTACTTTTGTCTTATCTTCACTACCAGATTTTAAGTTACCTGAAAGCAGAGGACTTCATCTTAATTATTTTATCATTCACACTAGCTGCTCACCCAGTGACTTGTTCATAATATGCAAATATGTGAAGCATGAGCGAATGAATTACTATTCAGCCAATCATATATAAATGACATTTTATGCCTATAATCTGATCTACAGCATAAAGAAGACATAAACTTACTATTTTCTTGGACTCTGGCCACAAATCCCATTAAAGGTAACTGAGGAGTTACCTGTAGAATGGAGGGAGGAGGAGGAGCAAGAGATACTGCAAAAACAAAAAAGGTGTGGAGGATAAGGGGTAAGGGCGAGTTACATTAAAAGGAAAGGCTAATACAATAAAATGAACATAATAAGGAGGGAAACCACTATGTACAAATATTTTATAAGCTATCTTAAAGATCCTCTTTTGAGGGATAATACATTAACACAAAAAACAAAGTATTGAGGGGAGTTTAAAGAAAGTTCTAAAAATTGTAACAGGAAGCATTTATTATATACAGATCTATTCTAACATGTAACGGCAAACTGATCTTGTCATATCACTAACAACATGTCTTCTCAAAAAATTTCTGCAGATTATTACAAATAATTTGGTCTTCAGGATTTTAAAGGTTACAAGTTTAAATGTTCATCAATACCAGAAAAAAAAATTGCATCCCAACATCCTAAATTTATACTTTTCATTACTTCATTAACAGGCAAATTAATTGGTTCTTCATTCATTAAATATTTACTGACTTTCTAGTAAGTGGCAAGCACTCTGCTAGGAGGCCAGCATCAAAACCATTCTGAGAGTTAGGTCTGTGTCATTACAATTTTTCATAATCCCAATTCATACCAAAAAAACACTGAACTCATTCAAATCATTCTCTCCTCCCCAGGGTGTCTTTCCTTCTATCCCAAACACCTGGTACAGTGCCTAGCACTAGTCAGCCTACAACAAATGTTTAATGTATGTAAATAAATAAATGAGGTACATGCCAAACAATTGCCCAAGATTAATTCTACAATTATAGTTTCCTTCAGAATGGGTATAAAGTGTAGTATGCATCTTCCCATAAAAGAAGAGAACAGCTTTATTAACTCTAAATTACAGTTAAGACTAATGCAACTGAAAAGATGAAAAAGAGTCACTGCCCTCAAAGAGACCACATTCTAATTGGGGTTACAAAACAAAATAATAACCTTAACCCCGCAATGTTTGTAGCAATCCGCTGGCGGGGGCTGTGGTGGGAGAGTCGGCATGGGGATGGTGTGAGGCGCCGGTGGGGGCTGGGGGGCACTGGGACGCGCTAGTGGTAAGGAAGGCCATGCAGAAACACTCTCTGAGCGGGCACCAGAAGAAAAGGAGTTGAACAAGCAGACAAGAATGGAGAAAGACAAGATGAGAACCAAGTGAGGGGCAAAGGCTGAGAGGTATAAGACAGCATGACCAGTTCACAGGACTGGAAATGTTTCTATATATATGGCCGGCACAAAATAGCACAGAGGGAAAATACAAACCTGGAAGAGTAAGTGGGTAGGTATGAAGTAGGGACGTGCCTTAGGTGACAGAGTACCCAGTGGTAGAGACTGGGCTTCAAAGTCACTCAGCATCAAGTATCTGATTCCCCACTTCCTTGTTGTTAAACACCTAGTAATAACTTCTTTGGACCTAATCCATAAATGTGATGAAAAAGAGTGGTTTGCTTTACAGAGTGGTTGCCAAGACTTAAAAAGAAAACAAAAACAAAAAACTAATGCATGCAGAATGCCTAACCCAGGACCTGGCCCCCAAAAATCAAGGCAGCATAAGCACAAAGAAGAGAAGAGAACTTAGTAACAGTGTGAAAAAGGACCACTTGGTAACTAAGGAATGCAGATGATATACAGACAAGAGTTAAGCTATTAGTCAATACTGAAGAATATCTAGACATAAGGGGCAGCGTAGAATAACCCTAGAAATGGGTACTTTCTTTAAACGCACCTTTTAATTAGGTTTTTCCCTAAAGTCATTACTTCTTGGTAGTAAACCCTTTGATGCCGTGTCTCCCCCTCGCGGAGGCTTGGGACAATTGCCGATATGTTCCCAATACCCTGTGTTTCTAAACTTGGAGGAAGAAGATGACATAATGAACACAGAAGTAGCAGAGACAAAGCTGATAAAAGAGAAAGAGAAGCAAACAGCAACTGGCATTCTAGGAAAGTTTTTATTGGGTGTATGTTCCCATCAAATAAGATGAAAATGTTCCTCTTCTGTTAGCACCAGTCCCAACCTGTCCTATAACAGAAAAGTAGGGAATTCCCCACTTTGGTCACTGTTTCTCATCCAATTTTTTTTTTAAATGACCTTCTGGTGCTCAGCAAAACCAAAATGATTAGGAGCTTAACTCAGAACAGTCTTTTTGTAGGTAGATCAAGTGTATTATTATTTTTTAAGATGAGTATGTTCTCTATTTTTTTTCTAGTTCTGCAAGTGAAAATCTGAAACCATATGGTTTTAAGAAATCCACCAAGAACAGCCCAGGTAAAAACCAATCACAAATCTTTCTAAAACAGATTTACTTTGTAACAAAACAAGTTGGATTTTTCTCAAAGCCAGACCATGTTTAAAAAAGTGAGTTCCAAACAGTTTACAAAGGTTACCCCAAATGTTACTTTTTTCCCCCAGGGCAAAATTTTAAAGTGATGGTCCAAATTAACTCAGATATCACAGGATTTTTTTTCCGGACCATGTTAAGATTTCATCTGACCAGAACTCCTGTGAACCAGAACATCCTACTTGAGACTAGATTTATTGTCCTTACAGCTGAGCTGAAAATGAACCATTCTAGGAGATTTAAGCAGGATTTTGATGAGAAGAATTACCTGCAATATTTGGTTCTAGTCCCAGGCATCTTGTGAACAGGGAAGAGCAGAGGTAATTAGACACTTGTTTTCACTCTACTTAGCTAAGATGATTCTTCATGTGACAAGACCCTTTCCCTATAACCACCAAAAGATCTCCAAACTTAGATTCAGGAATTTTATGTTCACAATATACACTAACGATGTTAATGTGAAGAGATGGCCTCACCGAACTAGAGTTTATAGAGAGATCTCAAGTTCTACACACAGCAAAAGAAGACATGTATAAAGTAATAGGCTCTGCAAGCAAACCAAACTTAGAGGATGAGCCTGTTGCTGATGAAATATACAGACTTTCCAAACATGACCTTCCTGGTTATTTATAAAATCCTTTGGAGCATAATCTTTGAGACTTATTGTTTTAAAATGTCTACTTCAACGCGTTTTGAAAAAATAACCTGGAATTTTACAGCTTATTTCTACAGATTTATAAATACTCTGAGAAAATCAGACATAATAAACATTCTAAATACTACTTTTAAAACCATTAAAGGATACCACTGGGGCACCTGAGTGGCACAGGTAAGTGTCCGACCCTTGGTTTCTGCTCAAGTCATGATCTCAGGGTTGTGAGAGCCCCATAGTGAGCTCCACACTCGGTGCTGAGTCTGCTTAAGTTTCTCTCTTCTTCTCCCCCTCCCCCACCATCTCTAAAATAAATAAATATATCTTAAAAAAAAAAACACCACCTTTAGAGGTTATAGACATCTGAGAGCACATTCAAGTTTAGGTGCTTATATTTTACATTGCAGTGAAGGAAATGATTTAAGCAATTCATTTTAAGAGTGAAATATTTCCTAAACACGAACAGCAGGGAGTATTTAAAAGTGAACTCAACTAATCATACTCAGTAAGGAGGCTTTTTTTTAATTAAAGATTTTATTTATTTATTTGACAGAGAGAGAGAGGCAGCGAGAGAGGAAAACAAGCAGGGGAGTGGGAGAGGGAGAAGCAGGCTTCCTGCTGAGCAGGGAGCCCTAGGCAAGGCGGGGATTGATCCCAGGCACCCCAGTAAGGAGGCTTTTTGATGGAAAAGAATATGGTTACCAAATAATTATCAGTTCTGTAGTTTCAGAAGGGTTAAAAGAACTGGATCATTGTTATTCCTTTTCAAGCAAAAAAATCACCATAAGATGTTATGCCAAGAAAAAGTAGCAAATTAACACAAAAGTTTAAAAACACAGCTTGTGTTAATAATCAGTATAAAGGGTTTATCTGGTTTACATGGTCATCTAAGAATGTAACACTTTTCAGTTGTTTTCCTGTTTTTTTGCTCTCATTACAGTAAGCATTTAAAAAAAAAAAAAAGAATAAGCATTCTCTAACAAACCCTCAAGATTGCCTAATATAAGGATTTGAAAATCGCTTCTTGCTACTGCTCTTTATTCATACTTTGCTAAAGCCCCACATCTGTATTCTTCTGGAAATTTATGGTAATGCCGTAACTTAACTATCATTTAGAGGATATATGTTAATGGCTTCTCTTCTGCAATACCACCAACCCAATATTATTTTTTCACTGTTTCTTTTTAATAACATTCAATGGTTACAGCTTGATATTTTCCCTGTGTAAAATACCATTCTTGTTCATAAATACCTTGCTCATATAACTATATACAGTCACATTTCTTGGAACCAACATCTCACTTTATGAATTAGATTTTTTAGTCTTTGCTTTAAGAAATTGTGAGCAGTAAAATACAGGATCATCTATTACCAAAGACCTTGATTATTATTGATTCTTTAATGTTATGGACTGAATATTTATGCATCCCTGAATTTCATATTCATGAAATTCTACTGTGATGGTATTAGGAGGTGGGGTCTTTGGGAGGCAATTAGGTCATGAGGGTAGACCCCTCATGAATGCAATCAGTGCCCTTATAAAGGAGACCTGGACAACTCCCTCTCTTTTTCCACCATGTGAGATACGAGAAGAGAGCAGTCTGCAACCTGGAAGAGAACCCCAGAACTTGACCATGTTAGCACCCTGATCTGACTTTCAGCCTCCAGAACTGTGAGAAATAAATTTCTGTTATTTATAAGTCACCCTGTCCTATGGCACGTTATGACAGCAGCCTGAACTAGGACACTTACCAAACTAGGTCTATATATGTAAATGTACGTGTGTGTGTGTATGCACGTGTGTGTGTACACACATGCTTCTTTACCACCAAGGGCCTTCACCTGCATATTTAAGGTTAAAAACTGTTAACTTATGCTTAACTCTATTTATTTTGGTGACCCTCTTTGCTGCTGACAAGATGAATAATAAATTGGTGTTCCTATTTCTTTGGCTAGATTATTAAGAATCAATGACAACCAAAGGGGTTTCAGTTAAGCCCTGATCAAAGTGTTCCTTTCATTAACTTGCTTCTGAAATAATCTCATTAGAAAACAATTATTGTACTCTTATGACTTGGCACTAGACGCTGGGTGTTCCATATTTTAATCCCTATGTTATCATGCCCTTTCAAACCCAACCAAATACAGTAACAGTGCTGCCAGATGTCCATCTCACAGAAAACCAGTGAATCTACTGAGCACTATTCCCAGGATCAAACTGTATAAAAGACTAACAGGGTGTCTAGCTCTCATGCATTTTATATCACAATGTGGATAATCCTCCTCACCCCCCCACCCCCCCACCAAAGAGAAGACTAGGAGAGTAAAAGAGAGATTTTTTAAAATCTGAAGGTAAGGAGGCTAGTATGAAGAAAGAACATGGAACTTAGAGGCAGATGACCTAAGTTCAAATCCTAACCTGATGTCACCTCAGTTCCTCACCCTACAAAATACAGATGAAAATGATCACATGATTATAAGAATCAAATGGGATAATATATATAAAAGCATTCTTTAAACTGCAGTTATGTAGAAGGAGGATCAAATTTCTTCTGCATGACTCCAAAGAAATAAAGTTTCACCAAAAGGTAGTAGCCACAGTAGACCAGTTTCAGGGCTTATCAGAGATGGAATGGGTTGTCCCCTAATATTAAAGATACACAGGCTTACTGGCCTCTGGGCAAAAATCCAGAAAAACACAGTAAGTTGCTATACCATGTCCACAACAGTCATACGGTCTAATATTTGCTCTTACCCTCTCTGGGACAGAAGCAAAAATAAAGGCTACATATGGTTTAAATATGTGCCAGATTTTTTCTGTATGCATGACGCAACAGAAAGATGACTGTAGTATCTGGACCAATCTGTCCAAGCCCTAGCTTTTCCGTCATGGGTTTAGTATGAGAATCGAGTAAGATCGCATAAGTGCCTAGCACAAACAGCTTCAAAAATATTTCTCTTTTACTACACCACTTACAAACTCTGTTCATGAACACTCAATTTTCATTATTTGGTATTCATAGAGCAAGGATATCTGATTAAATAAGAAGGAAATACTGTTCACTACAACATTATTCTTAAAAGCAAACAATCACTAGCACAAAGATTCTGTTCAGAAAAATGAAGTTCTACAACTTTATATGGAAATCATGTACTGATTTAAAAGAAAAGGAACTGGATGATACAGTATTAGCAACCTTGTATTCATTCTTCCATTCATTCAACAAACAGTACTAAACACCTATTATGTGTTAGTAATTTGTAATTAAAGGTTTTTCCCCCTGTAATGGAAATTTCTAATTAGATATATTCTACAGAATGCAAAAGAAAATCTAACCTGGATTCTGGCTATAAAAAGGTCCTCCATTCATCTGATTCTGAAGGCCTGTCTGCGACGTTATGGAAGGAGGGCGTCTATAGGGCAACGAGCCCCCTATGGTTGGAGGAGTATGGCGAGAAGCAGGTCTGTTCATGCTGTAGAACTGAACAGGATGACCTGGAAAAGGGACAGAGCATAAATTTGTCATTAAAAGATAATTATCTCAGGCAATGAAATGCTTTAGGTACATTGCCTGAATCTTAATAAGATTATTAAAAATAACAATGTTTAGCTAATTTAATTGCTATCTGATAAACATCATGCAAGGTCACAGTTATTGGTGAGCTGACATATCAAAGTGCAAAAGCAGGAAAATAAGTAAATAAAATTAGGTTTGGAAAAGCTACGTTCTAAATAGATTACTAATTACAATTTTATTAAACTAATAATTTGATAGGGTTTCAAAATCATCACAACTAAAATTTATGGCTTACTTCCTCCTCTACCCCCCAAAAATGGCCACTGAAAACTAAACAAGACAAAGGTCACCTGGGTGGCTCAGTAGGTTAAGCATCCGACTCTTAATTTCAGCTCAGGTCATGATCTCAGGGTTGTGAGATCGAGTGCCATGTCAGACTTGGCTCTGGACGTGGAGCCTGTTTAAGATTCTCTGTGCCTCTGCCCTTCCACCCCCCAACTCACATGCACTCTCTCTCAAAAGAGGAAGGAAGGAAGGAAGGAAGGAAGGAAGGAAGGAAGGAAGGAAGGAAGGAAGGAAGGAAAGAAATAAGGGAGGGAGGGAGGGAGGGAGGGAGGGAGAAAGAAAAAGGGGCACTTGAATGGCACAGCGGATTAAGCACCTGACTCTTGGTTTCGGTTTCAGCTCAGGTGGTGATTTCAGGCTCCTGAATTTAATCCCTGTGTCCTGCTTGGATTCTCTCTCCCTCTGCCCCTCCCCACCGCCACCCCCACTCTGTAAAATAAATAAATAAATCCTTAAAAAAACAAAACTAAACTAAACAAGAATAACATTTGGGAAAGCAAAAGAAAAAATGTTTGACACACGGTCTTATCCAAAATAATAATAATAATAATGGCAGCAAATTTAAGGTGGCAAAGCAGTTTAAAGCAAAGCAAAGTATTTCAGCAATCAGGTGACATAATTCCAAATTAAACACATCTTTATTCAATCAAAAAAATCTCCATCTCCAAAGCTAGATTATTTTGTCTTAAAATTAGAGCTTAGAAATTTACAATTAAGAAAAAAGTTAAGATACAAAAAAAGTGAATCAAAATATATCTTATTTGTAATACTATCTCCAAACTTATAATATTTATTAGCAATTTCACTCAATTTTGCCAAGTACTTCAACAGCTAATGCTAACTAAAGACATTCTTTCTTAATCTATCCAATTCCCTAATGCAATCCAGTTCCTAAATTTTATCTTGACTCCACTTACACTTCACCTCACTCAGCTGAAGGCCTACTATTACAGATGGATCAGACAGAGCACTGGAGCACCCATGAGCGGTCACTCCAGCAGGCAAGAAAGGAGGGGAGGTAAGGGGAGGAGAGAGAGGGGAGGGAGCAGAAGTGAGAGAGGAGGTGAGGAGAGAGAAAGGGAAGAGCAAAGAGGAGGAGAAAGTGCAGGAAGGAAGAAAGGGAGGGGGAAAGGAGAAAAGAAAGAAAAACACTTCTGGCAATTTTTCATCTTATCCATGATCGTAAAAAGGGTTTACCTGAGTAAAATTGGGCTTCAGTAACTCCATAACTTTATCAAACTTGGGTTCATATGAACTCATATAAAAAATATTATAAAAGCACTCAAGATCTGCTATATCATTTTACATTATGACAGCATCAAAACCTAAAAATCAATTCTGTTGTACAAAAAATCTGGAGCATTCAAGCTTAAACATAATCTGTCAAGTCTCTGTAACAATGATAAAAAATGCAAAAATATATAAACTAATAAATTATTAATTAAAAGGTACATTTTGTCATTTGAATCACCAGATACAAATACATTATTGGCATTTTAGTAATCAATCTGTAACAAATTAATAACAAACCTACCATCTTCAAGTTAAAAGCATCTGATAATTAAACCATTATGAATTTTATAAAGTTAGATCCAGTCTAAAATCTCACATAAGTCCTCAGTAATTAAAAAACACTACATAAAAGACTCTCTATTCATTCAATTAATAAGGCATTTACTTTGCTTTGGGTTAAAAAAACAAACAAAACTACAGTTTAATTAACATGGACCTAACTATAAAATCTAAAACTAAAAAGTTCTAGAAAAAAAAAAAACAGAACAAAATCTGTGACCTTGTGTAAGGTAACAAGTTTGAAAGTATGACACTGAAAGCACAATCCATAAAAGAAAAAAAACAACCAATGAACTAGATACAATCAAAATGAAGAACTCCCCTTCTAAAAGATACCATTAAGAGAATAAAAAGATAAGTCACAAATGGAAGAAAATATTTCCAAATCGTATAATTGATAAAGGACTTACATTCAGAAATAAAGGAATTTGATAAGAAAACAACCCAATTCAAAAGGTGTGTGGAGGGGAGCAAAACATTTGAAAGGACATTTCATCAAAGAAGATAAACAGATGGCAAAGTAGCACACAAAAAAATGTTCTAAATCATTAGTCATTAGGGAAAAGAACATCAAAACCACACAAGAAACTACTGTATACCTATTAGACTGGCTAAATTAAAAAAAAAAAAAAGCAAATGGACAATACAAGTGCTAACAAGTATGCAGGGATGTCTCACGCACTGCCGGTGGCGGCGTGTTCAGCTGCTTTGGAAAACAATTCAACGGTCTCTCATAAAATTAGACATTCATTTACCATACAAACCAGCAATCCTACTCCCTAGGTGTTTACCCAAATGAACTGAAAACCTACACTCACACAAAGTCCGCATGTGTATGCTTACAGCAATTTTATTCGTAAAAACCCCAAATCAGAAACAATCCAAACGTCCCTCAACAGGGAAAGGGATAAACAAACTGTGGTACATCCAAATGATGGAACACTACTCAGTAATAAAAGGGAGCAAAATAATGAAACATGAAACAACATGAATAAATCTCAAATGCACTGGTGCCAAAAAGCCAGACCCAAAAAGCTATATACCATACGCTTCTATTTACATATTCTTACAAAGGCAAAACTTTAGAGACAAAAACAAAACAAAACAAAACAGATCAAAGGGTTGCCAGGGGCTAGAAGTAAAAAGGAATGACTGACTACAAAGAACATAGAGGAAATTTGCAGATAATAGGACTATTCTACATCTTGACTGGAGTTGTGGTTACATCACTGTATACATTTGACACAAATGTACATGCTAAAAAGGGTGAATTTTACTGTATGTAACTTATACTTTAAGAAGAAAAGAAAAAAGTACTTGGTGATTCAAAGACAGTATAAAAGAAAGTATACTGACATAAATTGTTATTAAGGCATTCACCTTGCTTTTTGTTAAGAAAAAGTATACTTATCCACTCATATAACAAATGTTTATTCAGTGCAGACTATGAAGCAGTACCTATTATGATTTTATTACAAAAATGTTGACTCTTGGGTGGGAGTGATTTGTTCCTTCTGGGCCTACAACCAACTTCAAGATGTATTTTTTACTTCATTGGTGCTGGAGCATAACAAGATTCCTATATTTAACTAGACGGTCTGGCCTAACAGAAACGTGTGTAGATTAAAGAATAGCCCACATTTATGTTTACAATGGAAAGCTTTTCTTAAAAAGTTCTATTACAGAAGCTATCCCATAAAACAACATCCAAAACCCATTTTAGCTAAAAGTGTCCTTTAACACATTTATACATCTGGTTATAGCAGCAGAGCTAAATATATATTCTATGAAGTATTTGACAAGCTAAGGTGATACATGTCCAAACACATACATTTTTATAATAAAGAATTTGTTTGCTAATAATCAGCATCACTATTAACTTTGCAAATATATTTTGTAGCAACTGAACCTTTTTCCCCTTCCCCATCAAGACAGATTTTAGGATGCAGTTTTAAAAACTAAAACACCAGTCAACCTTAAGTAACACTTAAGTAAACCTGTAAACCTGAAATTCTTAAAAAGTCCATTGTCTATGTGTTTCCAGAGCTGCTTTGATAGACTTACAGAGACTTCCAAACTGTTACATCAAATATTTCCTATAAAATATACCTTAAAATTATTTCCATAGGCTTTTCTCTTTATTAAAGACTTAATCTGCAACACTATTTCTAACAACAACTTCTCAAAACTGTACAGAAGATGGCTCCACACTAAATTCACAAATCTCCAGTAAATGAAATTCAAGCAATTAAAAAAATGTATATTTGTGTTACTGTGCTGGAGAAATGTATGTGAACTTTATCCTTCCTCAGGAAATTCTTTTTGGTCACATGCCATTTTCTAAGTTAGTCCATTGTTCTTCAGATTTTACACACACACACACACACACACACACACACACACACACACGGCACAAACAAAAGTCATAAAGCCAGAGCTCCAGGTAAAAGAGCCAGATGACTGGATGTGCCTGCCAAAGGAACAAGCCGTACTCACCTGTGGGGGGAGTGGAAGAAACAACAGGGGGAGTTGGAGAAGTGAAGCCGTCAGCAAGGGCCTGGGCCCCCCCAGCAGCAGCGTCTGGGGCAGTGGAGGAAGGGACAGTAGCAGGAACAAGAGGGGCAGGGGCGGATGCAGAAGTAGCAGGAAGGGGAGAAGTACCAGCAGACCCAGCAGGGGCTGAGGGGAAAGACAGTAAGAGGTAGCATTAATGAGGCAGGCCCATTAGGTGGGATTAGAAAAGGTCTCAGAGAACCTAATGTTAAATATTCAGTGCTTAACACTAACCCAAGAATAGAAGAGAATGGTTAAAAAAAAATAAAAAAAATGAAGCTTATATTAAAGGATTATTTGGTTTGCAGCAAATCAAAATGCTCAGGGTAATGTACATATTTTTTTAATTCATTAAAAACAGCATTCCATTTCTCCTGAAAGCCACTACTCTGGAAGAAAGATGTTCCCTTTATATTGTAATTTTTAGCACTGTATTTTGTAAATAGTATATAAAACTAAACATAATACATTAGGAAACAGTATTCCATTTTGAATTACAAAAGTCAGAAAATAAACACATATTCCAGACAAAAACATATTAGGTTAAAAAAAAATTTAGAAAAACACAAATCTTTTTCATGATTTTTAAAAAGATATTATCTATTTGGTTATCATGATAAGTAAATTAAATTTAAAAATTCTATCCCTAGGTCTTCTGTGTCATGCTTTTAAAACTAAATTTTAACTTTGGTGTCTTCACATTAAACAAGCACATTTTTATGTTTTGGGGGAAAAAAGGTAGTATTTCAGAGAGTATTAAGTTCCAAAAGTCCACTAAATTTAACTGCCAGAACTACCTTTAAATTTGTCCAATCCTTTGTTACCAATGTGACTCTAACAGTGACCGTGTCCAGACACATGCAATGTCGTAACACTAGCTGGAATTAAACATAATCACACCCAGGAGGTACCTGAAACCTCAAAGCACCAACTGAGCCACTGCACCAAAGACCCAAAGCCAAATAACAGAAGTATGTGAGCATAAACTCAGAAATTGCTTGGTTAAAAATGACAAGTGCATAAAGATTTCCCAACATTTATGGAGTCCTAAAGGGAAAAAAAAATCCTGATCAGGAAGAAAGCCCCTGTAATTAAATCAGAAACTGAGTTCAAATTCAAAAAAGACAAGCGAAGACGAGGCGCTGTTCATGTGTTACCTGGAAAGACACTGGGAGGAGATGGAGTAGGAACAGCAATGGGAACGCCCACGCTCCCGCTTCCACTGTTCTCCCGACTGCTGCTACGGCTGCTCGGGTGGCTTCCTCCGCTGCTCCCACTGCTGCTGAAGAAAGGACAGCCGCCCAAACAGGACTATTTATATACAGTCAGATATCACCCGCATTTCCCCAAACTTTCTGAAATGAGTACTGCTAAAGAAAGATAATGCAAAAACCCTCCACTTCATGTACTAATTTGAGTAAAACAGGAAAAATACTGAGTTCAAGAAACTTGTTCTGACCACATTTTAATAAGCATCAAAAGATGCTTGAAACCGAAATGGAGAAAGAAGGAAAAATTCCTCAGAAATGTAAGTGGTAAGTAGTAGGGTTCAACACACAAAAATTTTATGTGTTGAACATAAAATTTTTTGAACAAAAAAAAAAATTTTACACTCTGAAGAAACTTGTTTTATAATAAAAAGTTTTCCTAAACAGGTTGATTAATTTTATTTGTAATGATATCTTGATGTACCATCCCATATTACTGTTTTATTATGTATAGTTTTTCATCTGTAAAGTTCCACCAAAAAACAACTTGCAATTTCCCATATCTGGTCCGTAACTTTTTTTCCCACATCTGGTCCGTAACTTTTTTTCAGGTCAACTATAACTATTAATTTTGTAGAGAAGTTTGTATTTTAAGATGTCTGTTTTTTGTTTGTTTGTTTTTTTCAACTTCCTGACCTCAAAGCTTCATCAGAACATGAGGAGAGAGAGGTGGATTCAGATGAGGTCTGGGGGAGTAGAGTGAGGAAAAGAACTTAAAAAATGTATATTTGTGTTACTGTGGAAACAGTATTTGTGTTGCTTGGAAAAGGAGAGAGATTTAACTGAAGTAATCTAAACAAATTATGGTACTATGACCATCACATTTGCACTGAGGGAAAGAAAATACCTGTAAGTTCGATTTCTTTGATTCACAGAAGCTGTCCTCACAGGGCTCTGCTGCGAGGGAGCCATATTACGGGTTGGGCTAGGTACGTAATCATTTGGTACCACTGGAGGACGCACTGGCTCCAGTGTGCGATAGGGGGAGTGCCGCCTACAAAAAGAAGAGCGTATGTATTGTGTGATTAGCAAGTTTCGGCACAACAAATTCAAAGAGTTGCCAGTAGTGAAATACAATTTGTATTTATGTTTTAACATAACCCAGCTACCGATTTCAGTCTTTCCTTTAGTATCACTTCTCTGCCATTGGGGTTTTGAGGATTATTGCTATTCTTTAGTCTCAAACCTCATTTCCCTGTACTAATGCAATCTTGTTCACTCATCCTCTGAGAGCACAAAGATTCTCCCACCAAGTAAGCCAGTGTTTCCCAGACTGTCCTCTCTTTTTTGGGGGGAGGGGGTAGGATGGGGGGGATGAGTTCAAATTATTTTAATACCGTGTGAAAAGTTTCCCAACTGCACTGCATGAATGCACTAATTATCTTCCTCACCCCTCTCTCCCTAACCAAAGATATTCAAAGATAGGGTAAATAAATCCAGAATTTGGCTCCACAACCCCCACAATGAAGATCAATAGCAACTGTAACAAGTCATTTTCCTTTCCATAAAGTAAATACACAGAAACTGAACTATATCCATACACAGAAATACACAAGTTTCATCTCCCTCCATTCTCATTTCACCTCCTTCAACTTTAACCTTGCTCTCTTTTACCTCCTGCCCTCCTCAGAGTTCAGCATTTAAAAAGGAGAGAAAAAGAAAAGACCATTTAAGTCTTTCTACCTTATTTGTTTTGAACTGTAAAGCACAAAAAGGACTGGATTTTATTAATATATGTCCTTCTCAAAATTTCCTTTAAAAGGAAGAGAATGAGAAAAGTAAGGAAGGAAATATGATCAGAAATAGGATGCACATTGGCACATTAGTGATTATGAAATTAGCTCTCATCCCTAAGTTTCTAAATTCTTTATGACATGATAGTCAATTGACATGAAACTGACATTTTGCAGATAAGATTCTGGTTTCTAAAAGAATAAAAATTGGGATCTCAAGATGTGAAAATTAAAAAGCTTTCTTTTCCTGAAATGATGTTGCTCCCTTGTAAAATTCTCAGTAATTCACTCCCCGCAAAGTCCCAGGGTACCTTTAAAACTGCTCTCCTGGGCTACTCAAGTTATTATGGTTCATTGATTTTGGGTGAGATCACTTTGCACTGACCCTGTCCATTCTACTACCCTCAAAATCTTGCACAAATACATGTGAACATTAATAATTAAAAAGAAGTAAAGGGCAATAAATGAGATACTGGGTCCAAAGAAGAAAAAGGAATGCCAGGAACTTGGATTTAAAATACTAAAAAGTTTAGGCATCTCTGAAATTATAATGTAAATATAAAAAAAAACATAAGATAGGAAACTGATTAATTTCCAAACATCTGATTTCCAGACAATTTTCCCAGACAATAAAAACATTCTGTTTCATGCAAGAAAAAACCCTTTGCTGAATGAGAACAATACAATGAAGGCAATGATAAAAACAAAGTAAAAAATTAGGGGCAAAAGAACAAAATATGATGGCTAGGCAAAGGCTATGCAAAAAAGTCAGGTTGTGACCATCAACTGGCTTGTGGTGTTCAGCAACTCTGATCTCCAATGACCCTGCAGAACCCTTGCTAATACACAAGGGAAAAAATTCTGGTATATGAATAAATCTTCAAAATTTGAGAGCAACACAAAGTTTTATTTTACTCGAGATGACAATGGGTTACTTTGCTAAGCATCTTGACTTAAAACCTAACAAAATCTGTTGGGCACTACAAATGATAGAAATGTGGACATTCCATAGGAAAATAAATACTTCCTCTTGATCTCTCTACTCTTACCTCTGCACAATTACACCCTATCATGTCATCAACATTCTACCCTGAAGTTTAAATCTTATTTGATCTACTAATTTCCTCTCTAATCTAAGCAGAATTTGTTTTGTTGTCCCCAAATAAAATCATCTTATTTCTGGCTGGAATTCATTTTTATTCTTTTATTTCCCACTGTCCTAACTGTAACTCTTCTTCCAACACTATCCTCTTTTATATCCTAACTCATCTTTGTTCCGCCCTGACCCATGGTGATTAATTAGGTTTTCTGTCATTTTCTTTCTCTTTTTTTTTTTGGTGAGGGGGCCAAAAACAACATTGCCAATTAAAAAAATTTTAAGCATATGTAATAAAGCCAATGGTTGTCAAAGCATTTTGTCTTATACATTTTTTAAAAATCCAATTTGTGGTACAATGACTCTGAAAAGTTAATAGAGGACAATTATTACCCCCTTTTACAGATGAAAAAACTGAATTGCGAAGAGGCTGACTATGCAAGACAAAAGAGCAGGAGCAGAGCTGGACCACAGTTTTAGTCATCTGGCTTCTGGGATATATTATGTCCAGACTGATCACAAATCTCCATGATAAAATTTTTTTAAGATTTCTTTATTTAAGTAATCTCTACACCCAACGTGGGGCTGGAACTCACAACCCTGAGATCAAGAGTTGCATGCTCTTCTGACGGAGCCAGCCAGGTGCCACAATAAACCAAATTTTTGTACTATGATGCTATAGAAGAAAAATGTTAGATGCTTTTACATTAATTGGCCATTTCTGCCAGAAGTCAAATCCAGAGCTCACTTCTGCTGGACTAAATTAAGCTCGATATTCTCATAACAACAAAGAATATACAGAATTTTGTAATCTACACAGTGTTCTTCACAAGAATAGTGTAAATAAGCATAGTCAAATGTAATATGAAATACTCTAAAAATTTTCTGAAATTAGAGTGCAATTTATAATAAATCATGAACTTGGACAAGGATTTTACCTCAAATTTAAAATTCATTAGAAAAATAACATTTAAACAAAATCTTTTTAAAGTATAAAGAGGTTTCCCAGAAAAGGGGAAAGTTACACACACAAAAAAGTTAATCTTAGGGAGAAAATGTTCTTGTTTCAAATATTAAAAAATAGTTTAAATGTATGTAGTGTTTAGTTTTCAACACTACATGAAATGGTTTTCAATTATTACTTAGTTACATACTTACCCAAGTGTCCCTTTCCCTGACATGGGGGGACTGGGGGGTTTCTGAGTTGGAGGTGTCGTACGTGGCAGCCCACCCATCTTCATATTCTGGGTACTCACCTAAAAAAATGTTGAGGAACAATCAAAACTTGTATGTAGTGAAACAAAATATCACTTGTGGGAAATAATGTTATGCTATTTAACAAAGGAGGGTAAGGTTTAAAGAGGAAAAAGAAATTAGAGGCCATGCATTTCATATGCAATTTCTACTCTACTGTTATTCTACAGTTGTACTCAAAGGACTCTTCCTAACATGAGATTTTCAAATGATTGTAAACATAATTATATGCAAAGACTGTATTTGCCATTAGGCCATCACACCAACAGATCACTGGTTAGATTATTTGATACTATATTTAATTGAAATTCAATAGGATAACTATAAGAACTTTAGTTTTAATAAAGAGAAACTCAAAAACAATGCCTTTAAACAATTCCTTTTTTAGGGGCGCCTGGGTGGCTCAGTCGTTAAGCGTCTGCCTTCGGCTCAGGTCATGATCCCAGGGTCCTGGGATCGAGCCCCACATCGGGCTCCCTGCTTGACGGGAAGCCTGCTTCTCCCTCTCTACTCTCCCTGCTTGTGTTCCCTCTCTCACTGTCTCTCTCTCTGTCAAATAAATAAATAAAATCTTTAAAAAATAAAAAATAAAAAAAATAAACAATTCCTTTTTTAGATGGCAAGTATATTATAAAAAAATACACATTTCCCAGTAAAATATGCAGTATAGTTTTGATCCATTGTAACTAGAGAATATAAAATAGTTAAACTGTATGATACACTGAAAAAAATTTTCAATTTTTAAAATAGTGGATCAGCCTTACAATTCAGATTTCTTTAATGTTCTCTTATTAAGGAATCACCCGCCTGAAACCTGCCAGAAGTTAAGGCATGTTCCTAAACCTCTGAACTAGAAAGTTAGGGCTGAGGTATCCCATTCAATTATGAGCAATACAGGGGCCACTGGCAATGTCCTAGTTTCACTGAGAATTAGACCCACTCAGGCCCAAAATAAAGATTATGGGAAAGATGTAACAGAGTCCTAAATCAGAGCTGGGCCGTTACTCCTCACTATTCTATCTCTAACTGAAAATGCAAAGGTAGGAGAGTAGTGTAATCTGGGAACAACTGATGGCACCAAAGAAGTGTATCAGAACTTATACAGAAAGCTCTAGAAATCTGGATGTCTTAAAGGGGTAAGAGAAGTCATTCACAAATATAGTTCAAATGCAATCTCAAATTATTTGAGATTACCAATGGGTCAGAGTAAATGGTCAACATATAGGTTCATACCTGACCCTATTTTAAGTCCCTAATATTCTGGACTGCCAAACACTTCAAAAAAAAAGGGGGGGGGATCTTAACTTTTCTAATAAGAGTACGTCTGGAGTATTCAAATTATAAAATGAAACTGCAAGACAGGACACCATTGAAATCAGAATACATTTATAATTGTAATTTCAAAATATAAATTTTAAGAAAACAAATCATAATCGTATACAGAGTATTGAAGCTGTCAAAAGTAACTCTGGCTTAAATGAAATTTTTAAAACTCCTAAAATACTACTTGTTATCTGAATAGGCAAGAAATAATATATCCAGAAACAAACTCTTCAAATGAATAGCCCAGTGAACAAGTTGTGTGTGATGTTAAAACAATCTTTAATGACAAATGATACCTTTCAGATGTCAATATTTTTAAAGTGAAGCATTTATCTGAAATCCTTTTATTGTTACTTTTAAACAAATACAAAACAAACCAGTTATCAAGTAAGAATAAAAATTAACTTCTCCTTGTTCTCCCCCTCATTAATAAGCAGAGGGTATGCTAATCGTATCTTAAAATGAAAATGCCAGAAAAAGTTTTGGAAAAAAATCAATCCACATTTGGGGAAAATTTTAGGAGTAATATGACGAATAACCAGTAGCTTTTCACACTGTAATCTTCATTTATGATACCAGAAGATTTTTTATAGTAGTAACCAAAGTCCTTTAAGCTCAACCTTAAACAACATGAAACCCAAAGTTACTTTAAGTGACGAGGGAGAAGTAGGTGAGCCAACACTAAACTACATCAATTTGCTAGAAACAGGAAGGAAAAGGAGCAGGGACAGAAAAAGTAAAAGAGAATTTTATTCTATACATGGAAGAGCTAAAATACTTGAAAACAGCTTTCCAACTTTGATTCAATGTTTTGGTATCTGAGGTGTTTTTATTTAAATTGCAGTATCTTCTAGAAATCTTTTAAACAATTAAAAAATATAAAGTAAACAATCTATAAATTAAAATCTGATGGACATTTCCATAAACAAAACTTGATACATTTTATGATCTGTAGGATCATCAAATGATTGTATCTGCTTGGTTATGGGGTTTGGATAAGTAACTTAAATCCCTGAAGAAACCAAAGAGGCCCTGCAGAATGTCCAAAAAATCTAATTTTATACATCACTGATACTGTACCCTTATATTAAGCTAAAAGAGTTTTTCAATATTTCTTCAAGGTGGTTTTCCTTTGTGAAAAATGCTTCTATGCTAAGTAAAACAATAAATATGCTATGCAGAATATGAATACTGGGGGGCACCTAGGTGGAGCAGTTGAGCATCCCACTCTTGATTTCGGCTCAGGACCCATGATCTCTCAGGGTCATGGGCTTGTGGGACTCCGCACTCAGTAGGGAGTCTGCTTCTCTCCCCCTCTCTCTCCCTTTCCCTCTGCTCCCACTCCTGTTTGTGCTCTCTCTCTCTCACAAATAAATAAATCTTAAAAAAAAAGAATATAAATATTGCCACCTAATTTGAGGAAAAGGAAAAAGAACAGGAATAACTGCCAAATAAAACTTAATTTGTTTATCATAGGTAGGATCTGTATTATAATTAAACTTAAGAAAGTATATTTCAAATATAAAATCATTTGACAAAAAAATTTACTGGATAGCTGCCATGGTCTTAAACACTATTTTGAGGGAAGTTTATGGGGAGACAACATTTCCTCACAAGCAGCAAAACACAGGACTAAATTGTGTGTATGGTGAAGGGGACCTCAAGGGAGAGAGACCAAGAGACAGAGAAAGAGAGAACACATCAGGAACTCGGAATAAAGAAAACCCACTTTATAACAGCAATTCCACATGAAACTTTAAAACAAATTGTAAACAGAAACCAAACTATCATCTGGCATATAAACATGTAGTTAATGGTCCTGAACCACGAGTGGGATTGCTCATCATACTTTCCAAAGTCTTATTTGGGAATCAGAATGAAGTTTGGTGGCTGACTGCAACAATCATTCAATTATGTGGGTATTTTTTGTTTCCATAAAGGGGAAAGTCATTATTGAGAGCTAAGTAAAGCAGGTTTTAAGTATAAGGAGGAACATTCCTTAGGAAATATTCCCCCCGCTTCTTTTCCTACCAATAAAAACCCCTCAAAGCAGAAGAAATATTTCATTTAAGTGATAAAGCTCAAATACTTTGCCACTGGCCTGTGACTAAGGAATGCAGATAAAACTGGAGGTAGAAAAGTTCCTTTATGTTCAAAGAGTGGTCCTATTTCCAAGGCTTTGGAGATCTCTACAAACTAGCACCAAGCATCAGGCCCATTCTTACGCCTTAATATTTTTTTTTACAATGCTCCTACCTTTCTTGCTTCATATGCTTTTTTGGTACATTCAATACCTCCTTGAACCTTGATATATCATAATATAATGTTCATTATAAAACTCAGTGCTTTCCAGTACCCTGTGAACTTCAGTATTTTTTATAAAGCTGGCTGGCCAGGTATCTCTTAAGTTCACAAAGGACGTCACTTCTGCTATGAAGAAATCTCCCACTGACATATGACCTGCTATGATAAAACAGTGGCAGACACATTCTAAAATGGTATCTGTGGTATATCCTTCATTTCTCAACCACTCACCTACCAGACTACTAGGTACAAGGGAAAAGAAATATGAAAACTAAGGGAGACATTTGGTGGGGTAGAACGGGACACAAAGGCCTATAAAATGATTCCTCTGCTTTTAAGGAACTTAGAGTATTGTGGAATAAGACTCCTGTGTTTTAAGCAAAAAAGAATGTCTACAAATTATATAGAAATCTCCAAAAAAGAAATATCAATATGAGAAGGAAAAACTACAGAAAGGTTTAGAGAAAAATCTAAGCTGGACTGTTGTTTAAAAAGAAAAAAAAAAAAGAGCAGGATTTCAATACACAGAGAGAAGAGCACTACGTAGAGTCTGTATCTGGACGTGGAGTAGTGAGGACGGGCGGAGGCTGTGGTCAGGCACCTCTGGGCCTTCATTCACTGTCCAGTGTTAGTCCCCATGGCCCCGGCCAGGACAGAGTTCTTGCGCTTCCTAGAGGCTCCATCCCTCTCCTCAGAGGACGTATGTTCCTACTTCAATTCCCAGGGCTGACAGGAAAAGGACCAGGAGATCTTTGGAGGGAAATCAAAGCTCTAATCTGGAGTTCGACTATGAATTCAGAAGAGGTAAAGTTTTTAGTAAGAGAAAGACAAAAAGCCCAAGGTACTAAGAGTCCTGAAATAATCCGATACAGATATAAGGGAATAAAAGAGTAGGAAGAAGGGGGAAGAGAGGTAAAGAAAGAAGGACAAGAGGAATAAAGATGAGCAAATCTGTTTGATTTTAAAAATACTTTCTGACAACCGACCTTCGACAAAATAGAATTGATGGCTTAAGATTGGAATAGGCAAAACCAGATGGGTCTCCCAAGGGTTGCTGCTTTGGAGTTTTCCCTCCAAATGATGTGTCAGATAAATGCTCAAGAGTGACCCCTGAGCTGCACGTGAAAGCTGGAAATGTGAGAAGCAATTTATCATCCTTCTGTAGAGAATGACAACACTTGTTAAAGAACACACTCGAGTGAAAAACTAAAGCCATTTTTTACACAGGGTTAAGTTAAGGATCTTAAAGATCCCAAGCAAAATTTTCAGAAGTGTTATATTCTTAATGTGTTAATTGTAAAACAAATCCTTAACCCCTCCTTATTTAGAATCTGCTTGCACAACATATTCAACTGAAATAAATACTACACTAACAGATTAGTAGTCCTTACTATTTTTGATTAATATACTTATTTAAAAAGTACTAAAGCTTAGCTTCATGAGGGACAATTTCACTGCTTTCAAAAGAAAAATCCATTTCAAATAAAGGTATCCCAGTTCAAGGTAAATTCCATTTTTCTATGGCCTCAGGTACATATGAAAACACTTCCAATATGGCATTCCACCCTTTAGCTTTTTATGCCTTTTGTTGTAAAAATATCACCACATTGTTTTCAAAGTTCTTATGAATTAAACTCTACAACTTGTTCTCCCCAGTCAACTAAAGGAAAAAATAACCTAAATTTCAAATGAAAAGGACCATGAACCACCATGAGAACATGCTATATAAAATGTTAAAAATTCAACTTTTAGTATGGAGGATTCTTCTAAGTCAAATTCCATGTGTATGGCCTCCAAGGGTGATCTTTGTTTAGAGTCTGTCTGAGAGGCATCAAAAGTCTGACAGCAACAAGTGCAAACATAGAGTTCATGGAGAACTGAGGAAATCGAAGTAGCAGATAATCCTACCAACAAACATCAGGAGACCTCTAGGGCACTTGATATAATCCACAGGTCTCCAAGATCAGTTGGAAACCACTGAACTAGTTTATTATCTGCAGTCCCTTCCAACTATAACATTTCCTCTTTAATTCTATTTTCTACTTTAATGTATTAAATTATTCCATTAATAACCCTTCCAAAACCACTCATATTTCAATACCAGAATAAAAAGAGAAATGATTTGTTACATGAACTTTTTTTTAAGATTTTATTTATTTGAGAGACAGAGAGAGAGAGAGAGAGACAGCGAGAGCAGGAACACAAGCAGGGGGAGTGGGAGAGGGAGAAGCAGGCTTCCTGCCCAGCAGGGAGCCTGATGTGGGGCTCGATTCCCAGGACCCTGGGATCACGACCTGAGCTGAAGGCAGATGCTTAATGACTGAGCCACCCAGGCCCCCTACGCTGAACATTTTTTTCACTCTACTTTGTTCTGCTTCACTTAAAGTTATTAACCATGTGCTACAAGTTTACAGAGAAGACAGACATTCACAAGGAGGATAGGAAGAAAGAAAAGACAGAGCACTGGTGTATTCTAGCTTCTAGGATGAATTCAGGGTACTCTTCTTACCAGGCAACCCTACCCAGATATTGCAGAAACACCTACATAGAGCCACAGTACTCACGAGTGGAGCTTTCTGGTACACACAGCAAAGACATTAAGGAATCTAATACAAGTGTGGTATTTCCTTGCTTTCTAGGGGCTTCTCTCATTTCCTACTCATTTTGGTCTATCTCCCACCTGGAACAGATCCTGAATCCAGGAAGGTCAAGAAGGAATCATTGTAGAGTTTGGAGGAAATATGGGATAGTAGCTTAAGCAAGCTGGTCTAAAAGGGGAAAAGAATTGGTCCATTTCTGTGTTTTTCCTTCAGGTAATCTTTCTGTGCACTTTTATCACTTTGGAGAAAACACATCAATAGCTAAAATTTGAATATAGTATTTACAGGAAAAGAGCCAAGGTAGTCACACACTGCTTTGGGTCTAGTTCTTTGTATTTAATGCAGAAGGAATATCCTCACAATTCCACATGCCCCACTCACCAAAACTGAGGGCTTGGACCCAACATTCTACTCAGTAATAAGTTTATTTGCTTGACTCCTCTAGTCACATCTCTCTACCTGGATCTGTTGAAATGTCTGTGGCCATAGTTAGTATCAGTAGCTAATGATTCAGATCTCAGTTATCTTCTTGTTAACACTTTCTATACTGAAGACATGGCAAATAACAGGGTTTTGGAAAGAAAATGTATTTGAAAAGAAATTATAAAGTTCAGCTAAGAAAATAAGAACAAAAAGGAAATACATGCTCAGTTTGGTGAAATAATTTTAGTAACCTTCTATTTAAACGCTTCTTGAATACACTTGAATGTCTTTTACCATTAATTCTCCAAAATACTAAAATGTGAAAAAACAAACAAACCCTCAAGTGTTACTAAAACTTACTTCTCTAATTCTTAATGTGTATTTTGTTAAACACTCATGAACTTGTAATGTTTTGATATAATACTCAGCTAGTAAAACTCTTAGAGTGAGTTTATACTGAGATATATATCTTATATAGCAATTTCAAAAAGAGAAACTAATTTTGCTTTTTGCAAAATACATGATACTGCAACTTAAAAAAAACTAACACAGAATATTTTCCACTTCTCAATTTCTTTACATTGAATAAGAGTCAAGAGATAATGACATACCGGCCACAAGATGTATAATAAAGCACACCATTTATAGAATAAAAAGGCTATTACACAGGGGGAGGGTTAAATAAAGCACAATAATTGGCCCTCCAATCCATAAAATAAATTCTACATTTACAAAAGTCCATCTAATTTTACTTCATAAAGACATTTTATGATAGGGCAACTTATATTTTAGTTTCACAAAATATATTAACATTGCAAAATAAGCATTTTTGAATAAAAAACATTTATTAAGCACCTAGTGTATGCATCAGGCACTGTTTTAGGCACACAGGACAGGTGAACAAAACAGACAAAAAATCTGCCCTCACAGAACATGAAAACACACCACAGAGTTGCACGACAAAAATTTTTTAAAATTAAAAAGAGGAATTATTTGTTGATTTTAGAAGGCCAAGTGCCAAATATCTCTTCACTCCCCATATGTAATACTCTACATAAGAATAAAGAATGGAAATCCAGCCCTGGAATCTCTTACCTTAAATCTAAGCAACCACTTAATGCATAAATGGAGCAAATAAAAGAGGTAAGGGAAAAAAGCATTGAAAGGTTAGTTGGAACTTCAGGATGTGAAGAGAAAGGAAAAAAACAAAGAAAAAACAAGTTAAGCATTCAGCATTAAAAAATAATGTTTCAGTAGATCATAGAAAGAGTGGTCAAAGCAGAATGTGTCATGAACAGGAGGGTTTTTTTGATGAAATTATATGACATTGTTTTATTCAAAAACTTAACTTTATTAAAGATTTCTTCAAACAGTGATCCCTAAACACTAAAAGTCCAAATAACAAGAAAGACTAGAGTCCCAAAAGAACATTTTACTTGAATTAAGAAAGAATTGGAGTGGGAAGGAAATCATGTGTTTATTATATAAGTGGACAAGCACAAATATTATGTTTTATACATCTAAGTGCCTTTTGTAATTAGATTCTGGCATTACCCTAAAATTTTCTATTAGCAGTTATTAGCCTTGAATAAATCTCAAAATTATAAAATTTTAAGTATTTTATAAAATTAAATATCAAATTCCAAATAGTGCTTATATCAAAATTCTAAGAAAAAAAATTTTAAAAAACTTACACTGTATATTTTCTTTTACCCAGGCCTACATTAAATTTACATTTAACTGATTTTTAGCCATAGTAATAGGGTATTTTTTTAGTTTAAATTTGCTTATATAGACATACATCAACTGTATAAACTATACAGTTCCTCACGTATGTAAATATTTATTCAAAGTCACATTTGATAAGTCATTGCCTTTCAAATCACTGATTAAGGTGAAAGCTTTAACTTAATACTTAGCTGAAGCTCCAAATAGTTTCTCAAGTATAAATACCAATGTAAATGAAATTTATATGCACCTCAGTTTTGATCATGGCACTATACATATACAGCAGACACTCTAATACATTTAAAAAAAAATAGCCAAAATATATAATGGCTACATACTCAAAAGCAGTGGAAATATTAATTCACATATTACTTTCATCTACACTATTCTCACCCAAAATGTTAAGGTAAAATTATTTTAGAACGTTTCAAAGCACATGGTTGTTTATACATGTTCTTTCTGAAAATGCCAAAGCTTTGTTGATAAATGTTTGAGATAAGGTAGATACTTTAAGAATATGCTGAGTAATTTTTTAATCAGTCATATTAAATCATTAAAAGATTAGAAAAATTATACCACACTTATGTGCCCGATCTATATGAGGTAGTCTCATAACTGGTTATGTAAATGCAATTCATTTAAAGATGACTATTTAAAACTTGAAAACAGCACTAAGAAGCAGCAAGAAGGATAAAATAGTTGTAGCAGCAAGGAATCTTCAGAACCACAACTGGGCCAAAACTTGGGCCTCCAGGAAAGAAAAAACAAAAGCTTAATTTTCTAAAGAGTTAGTTCCATTATGGACTATTGTTTTTAAAAGGTTGACAAAAATTATACTTACCTTTACTCCATGTCCAATATCATCTAGAATTGTATAGTCAATAGGTTTTCTAATATAACGAACTGGTCGTTCAAGATTGGCTGGAGCAATAATCTTGTGTGTCCTTGAAGTGTTTTTATTGGTAGTCAAAATACCGATCTCTCTTCTTGCAACTTTCTCTTTATGAATATCAACGGTCTGCAAAATATAATATAAACACAACACAAAAATGTATAGCTCTATTGCCCAGAAAAATCAAAATATAAATGCTTATAGATTTAATATCATTATTCATATACTTAACCCCAACTGCTAAATTTTGTCCTTTTTGGACCTACTGGCTTTCTCCATTCTTAGGCTAAAACAAGGGTTGGCAAATCATGGCTGGCAGACCAAATCTGGTCCACAACCTGTTTTTAACAACCTGAAGTGGTTTTTGGTTTTGTTTTGTTTTTTACAACCCAGGAGTAGTGTTTACATGTTTTCACGGTTTTTAAAAAGAAGAAAAATAATGTCATGACATGTGAAAATTAGACAGACTTCAAATTTCCATATTTATGCAAACTCCAAGTTTCCATAAATAAAATTTTATTGGACCATAGCTATTCTAGTTGCTTACATATTTTCACACTACAAGGGCAGAGATGAGTAGTTAAAACAAAGACTGCATGGCCTGCAAAGCCTCAAGTATCTCTTAGCTGGGCCCTTACAGAAGTGTGCCAACCCGTGGGTTAAAGAATGCTAATTTTTTCCCCTCCGTTAATATTTAAACTAACATAATGATAAAGAAAGCCCCAGGTATTAATTTGGTTACATTGTAAAATAACCTGTTAGTATAATTTCCATTGGTGTTCAAATGCCTTTTTATTTACAAAAAAAAAGAGCCCTAAAATATAAATACAAAATATAAATATAAAAGTATAAAAATAGTCGGGATGCCTGGGTGGCTTAGTCGTTAAGTGTCTGCCTGCAGCTCAGGTCATGATCCCAGGGTCCTGGGATCGAGCCCCGCATTGGGCTCCCTGCTCAGCGGGAAGCCTGTTTCTCCTTCTCCCACTCCCCCTGCTTGTGTTCCCTCTCTCGCTGTGTCTCTCTCTGTCAAATAAATAAATAAAATATTAAAAAAATAAAAAATAAATAACATTTAAAAAACAAAGAAAGAAATCTGAAAGCTGATTATTCCTCTAAACTACTCAAGGTATGAAGGGACTTGAAACAAATCCGAAGCCTCCTATTTCAACCAAAAGATCTTAAAAGCAACAGTATCCATAAGCTTCACAACTAGTATCTAAATGAAGCATCAAATCAAAGCCTGGCCAAGGTAGTAACCTTATCATTTTAAATATTTCTTTTTAAGGCAAAAATAATCTTTGAGCTTTTTCTGAGCATGTTAAGTAAAAATTACAAAATCTGCTTTTCTTTCCAACTACTTGGGAGAGCTACTGGAACAGAAAAAAAGAAATTTATATATTAGTGATAATATTGGTATTTACTTACTTTTAACTTCAGAGAAATAAAAATCTCATTTTGAATAATTTTTAATGAGTCATCCTGAATCATTCAAAACATGGGCTAGGAAGATTTCATATGTATTAAGTATGCTTCAAAATAAACAAAAATCAAAGAAAATATGGTACTTTTTTGGATACCTTTTTTTTATAACTGGTCTTCACCATATCAATAAGAGAAAATTTATCAGAGAATGTAATCCTCTTGAGACAGTTTCTATTCCAGTTTTTAGAAATGTAATTATCCTATTCAAAAATGAAACCATAAGGGACGCCTGGGTGGCTCAGCTAGTTAAGCGTCTGCCTTCGACTCAGGTCATGATCCCAGGGTCCTGGGATCGAGTCCCACATTAGGCTCTCATGCTCCCTGCTCAACAGGGAGGCTGCTTCTCCCTCTGCTTGTGTTCTCTCTCTCTGACAAATAAATAAATAAAATCTTAAAAAAAAAAACCATAAGAATGCAAACCCAACCACCCATAGAATTCTAAGTTTACTGCAAATTAAAATTCAATTTCAAATTTTTGTGGTGAAAATATTAATAAATTTCTGGAGAACAAAAATGGGGAAGCAACTTTCCATATCTGCATTAATATATGGTTACATTTTATAATAAGCACATATTTTTTAACTGTCTGAAAAAAATTGAGACTTTTTTTAAAAAGCACTGAAAACACCCAATCAAGCCTGGGAACTGGAGGCACTTACATACTACTTTTTTGTTCACTTTATATGCACACAAACACACAGCCCAAACCCGCAGATCATTACACTAAGGATAAAACAAAAACCAATATAGCAAAGGAAAATAGCAGCTTCTTGCAAGGGAAGGCAAAGTGCAGTGAGTTACAAGAAAACATAACCCTTCATCAGGAAGGACAATTTTCCCAGCACTAAACTTTAAAAGGAATTGGTTGGAGGAATTTTGAAGAGAAAAATGTTGCTTCTTTTATAAATTCTCAGTAAAAACTGAAGGCATGTTTAAAACATAATTCTTAACAGCATACATCCATGGAAAATCAAAAGATTTTAGTTTGGTTATATAATATTCCTAGTTGTCTACTCTAAAAGAATTCCTACATCTTAGAAAAACTAGAGCAGGGTTTCTCAACAGCAACACTCCTGACATTTTGATAATTTTTTGTTGTGGGAGGCTGTACTGAGTATTGTATGATGTGAGGAAGTATCCCAGTAGACCTGTAGCACTCCCCCAAACCAAGTTGTGATAACCAAAAGTGTCTGACATTGCCAAATGTCCCCATGGGGGGAATAACTCCCTGCTTGAAAACCAATGATGTAGAGGAAAGATAAATTCACTTGTCCTTACATTATGGACTCATTGTTTCCAAACTTGTTACAAGAGTTGACTTAAAAGATTAATGTCTCTAGTGACTGGCTAAGTACAGATATTTGGTGTCATTAGCTTTTTAAAAACATCTACATTAATAAAAGTAATAAATGGTTAAGAAAATCAAAGAGCATAATTTGTATTCTTACCATCCTACTACCATACTAGGTTGAATGTAGGAGTTCTTGTGAACAAAAATCAAATATACATTCAGAAAATAGCTATGGTTTTATTTGGAGTCTGAATAATAACCGAAAACAAAGGAGGAGAAAATTTGGTCCATAACATTCTGAAATTTTCAGCAATCACCTACTTCAAATTTTCAAAGCTTTCTTTTGGGGAAAATCATATTCAAACTAGAGAGAGTAATAGAATGAACACTCCCCTCTCTATATATACCTAACATCCAGCTTCAGCACTCATCAACTCACAGCCAACTGTCAGTTTTAAAAGAATTTTTGTAAAGCTCCTATGATGTTTTTAATTAAAAAATATGGCTACTCTGTTTTTCTTAAATTCATAGCTTTCACTAATCACCACTGCATTTGCCTTCATAATATTCCTTGACATTACAAAACTAGAATGCATTGAAGTTAAATTTTGGAAGTACAAGTTCAACGTTGATATTTAGGAAGAATTTTAATAGTAAGTAAAAAGTATTCCAAATTTGTCCTGGATTTCTGAAGTAACTAACTAGTTACATGACAATAAATTTATTCTTATTTAGTAAAGGTCTCAATAATAGCACTTACCTGTGGCAAGTAAAGAATGTGTTTAAAAAGCAAAGACTACCAAAACTAATGCAAATACACTTCTAATAAACACCATTGTTTTTTGCTACCTGTTAACCAAAAACACACCAAGTAATATCACTGCAACTGTGTGGACTACTCTTATTATTAACAGATCCTTATCAATTTGTTTCTCTATCCTTCTCATTGCGACTGTCAAGTCTGATCTCACATGCTGCAGGCTCCCCCCAAGACACCTCAGCTATGCAGTGCCAAACCCAAGGCCTCTAAAACACCTATCACCTTGAGATAGTCATACTGGCTCCCAGCTCCCTTGCAAGCCTGAGACCCATTCTCACATTTCCTTCACGGATTCAAGCACATACACAAGCCACAACAGATATCAAGAAGGTACTGTATAAAGTACTTTGTTTTAGGATTATCCATGCTCTGTTGTGTCCCATTAACACAGATAATTGAGAGTTGACTGTACTGCACAGCACTACCTCAGGCAGCTGACCATATGTGTGGGAAAACATCTGCAAATAGCTATAGTGGATTAACTCAACTAAGTTGGATGTTTTCAAATATGTCTCCATTTTTTTATTAGTAAGTTAATGTTTCAAATAAGCATTTAATTATTTAAATGACAAATATGCTTTAAATTATTCATCTTCCATAAAATAAATTACTTACTACTAAATGGTAATTTTCAGTTATTCATTTTTTAATAAAATGATATAAACTATACATAAGAAGTTAATTTAAGAACTGTATAAATCCTACTTTCTATGCATAATTACATATTGATAGCCTTTAGTAGGATTTCCTTAATTTAAAATTGAATTTTGAAGGCAGTCGGTTAAGCGTCTGCCTTCAGCTCAGGTCATGATCCCAGAGTCCTGGGATTGAGCCCTATGTCAGGCTCCCTGCTCAGCGAGGAGCCTGCTTCTTCTTCTCCCTCTGCCACTCCCCCTACTTGGGTTCTCTCACTCTCTATCAAATAAATGGAGGGCGCCTGGGTGGCTCAGATGGTTAAGCGTCTGCCTTCGGCTCAGGTCATGATCCCAGGGTCCTGGGATCGAGTCCCGCATCGGGCTCCCTGCTCCTTGGGAGCCTGCTTCTCCCTCTGCTTCTCTCTCTCTCTCTCTCTCTCTCTCTCTCTCCCCACCTCTGTCGTTCATGAATAAATAAATAAAATCATTAAAAAAAAAAAAGACTGCAACATCCTTTAAAAAAAATAAAAAATAAATAAATGGATAAAAATCTTAAAGAAAAAAAATCTTGAAGAAGAAAGTATTAGAATCATTTATTTAAAAAATAAAATAAATCTTAAAAAAAAAAACAAACCTGCCATCCTTGGGGCACCTGGCTGCTCACTCAGTGGAGCGTGATCTCAGGGTTCTAAGTGCAAGCCCCACAATGGGTGTAAGAGATTACTTAAAAATAAAAATCTTAAAATAATAATAATAATAAAATTGCGATCTTTAAAATCCCTAAGGTAATCCATATCAAGAACCTATCCTAATACTTCTGATGGTGAGTGTGGTATAAATTAGTACACTACTTAACACCCTATTATCCATTTACTACAAAAAAAGTCTGATACTAAATACTCGTAATCAATTCTATCCTGTTTTTCAAAACCTTTGACATTTAGAGGAGGAGTTACTACTTTGTTGTGTTGAACACAACTATGTATGTTCCTGATACATCTTCATGATACATAATTGGTAGAGTCAATGGAATTCCCATCCTCAGATTCTAATTAGAAAATAGTTGTTACATCAGAGTGATAGAAGGTTGAGTTTAGTGGGGCACAGATTGAGGTGAATAGCAAAGCCAGCAGAATAGAAAGAAAAAAAGCAAATATAAATCAAGTTCATTTGTGAGAATCTCAAAAGAAAAAAGAATTCAAAATGGAAGATAGCTCAGAAATCATCTAATCAGTCCTACCATTTTATAAACGAGAAAACTGAAGTTCAAGTAGGTCAAATGTCAGGCAAGTCAGCAGAAGAACCAAAGTAAAACCTAGACCCCCGACCCTCCCCGCTCCCAAACCTATGGAGAAATAGCTAGAGCACAAGAGGCTGAAGAGTGATAAGGTTCTTACCCAGGAGACAGGAAAAAGATACTGATAAGGAAAGAAACCAAATACCTCAGAATCTAGTATCTCCTAGTCCTCAACCACTCTACCAGACAATCTTTACAAAACAACTCCTGATACCTACTACCATTCCAACAAACATGTGATCTTGTCTTTGACCTGACTGAACCTCCATTTCTTTGCTTCTTCAACCCAATCTTCTCTCTAAATTCTTGGAACCTACTATTTTTGCTCAAATTGGAAAAAAAAAATCTAGTCTCAAGATATTGTAAGAACTTCCTGGCTCCCTCTAAAAACATAATATTTTTAATAAAGCATAAGAATAATAAAAAATATAAGTACCAAACATTTGGAAAAAACAGTATTTTAGAACAAGGGCTTGCAAACTACAGCTTACATGCCAAATCTGGCCTGCAGACTGCTTTTATATCACCTACAAGCTAAAAATATTTTTTACATTTTTAAATAGTTGTTTAAAAACATACAGAGAGAAGAATGAGACTGATATCCCATATCTGGCCCACAAAGCCTAAAATATTGACTATCTGGCCCTTCACAGAAAAAGCTTGCCAATCCTTGTATTTAGAGTATTTACTGAGTATTTGCCTTGTAAACAGAAAATATTTTCTCATACTATAATCTTTCAGTTTAAAAAGTGTAACAGTTTTGATGTTCAACTGACTTTTAAAACAAACGACTCTACCTGTACATTAAACATAATTGAAAAATATTTCAATCCTTAAAGCAAATGATAAAAAATATGTAATTTTCTTAAAAATTACTGATTTCTTAGATATAGCCTTCATCACCCCATTTCTCCTATTCAACCTCTCACCCAACATACTATTTTGTATAGAATTAACAGGTGTTGGACAGCTGCAGATCCCTCACCCATCCAGGGATTGTTCAACTCCAAATGAAGATGATTCAAAACAAAAATAAAATAAATAAATAATTTTTAAAAAGAAGATTCAACATACTCAGGGCTCTGACTCAGGCCCTGTTATTTCTGACCTACTAAATCTCTATCCATTCACCTCTCCCATTTTTCACTTATTCCATTAAAATACTTTAAAAGACAGCATTAATTAGACCTATTAATTATACGTAGATTTATGTGCTACTCAAAAATAAAGTGTTCTCATTAACTAATACATATAACTACAACTTAGGGTAGACTTATTCGCTTTCTTCCTCAAGACTGCTACTCTCCTCTACCAAAGTAGTACAGAATTCTAATCAAAAAACAGATAATTATTAGGGAACCTGGCTGGCTCAGTCAGTAGAGCATCTGACTCTTGATCTTGGGGTCATGAGTTCGATCACGCCCCACACTGGGTATGGTGATTACTTAAAAAAAATAGATGATTATCTTTCACTGTCATTTGCTTATTGTCTTCTACCTTCACACTCTTCCTACTTTCTCTTACAAACTAATAACAAGCTGTTCATCCTCTTTAGGAACTCTAATATATTAATTTTTCTTCTGCATTTGCACTTCTTTCGATTTTGGGTCCTTTGCTAAGATTTCAAACATGCAGAAATTTTAAGACTTTCAAGTGTAAATTCAAAATTCTCTATCAGATTAGCAATTAGCATTCCTATAGAAAACCAACTTCATCCATTTCATCATCATCATTTCTTCTAAGGGGTCTCTCCAGATTAAAATTTACCTCTCATTCATTAAAGCTCACCAATTAAAAAAAAAAAACGAAACTCACCAATTCTTTGCAGGTTTCCCTTGTTTTTTACTTTAAGAGACACAGCAATACAACAAGCAGCAAATTAGACAAAATCTACAGAAGTTTATATAGCCCTGAGTATGTTGAATCTTCTTTTTAAAAATTATTTATTTATTTTATTTTTGTTTTGAATCATCTTCAAAAATCTACTGAGCACTTGGGTGGCTCAGTCGGGTCTTGATCAGGGTCATGAGTTCAAAGCCCCACATTGGGCTCCACACTGGGCATGGAGCCTACTTAAAAAAAAAAAAAAAATCTAGGGGCACCTGGGTGACTCAGGCGGTTAAGCATCTGCCTTCTGCTTGGGTTATAATCTCAGGGTCCTGGGATTGAGTCCCACATCGGTCTCTGCTCAGTGGGGAGCCTGCTTCTCCCTCTGACCCTCCCCCATCTCGTGCTGTCTCTGACTCTCAAATAAAATATTTTTTAAAAAAAGTTTATATTGGGCGCCTGGGTGGCTCAGTTGGTTAAGCAACTGCCTTCGGCTCAGGTCATGATCCTGGAGTCCCGGGATCGAGTCCCGCATCGGGCTCCCTGCTCGGCAGGGAGTCTGCTTCTCCCTCTGACCCTCTTCCCTCTCGTGCTCTCTATCTCTCATTCTCTCTCTCTCAAATAAATAAATAAAAAAAAATCTTAAAAAAAAAAAAGTTTATATGGGATATAAAGAAACCCTTACCATGGCAAATTCATATTTAAGATTAAATTTAGTATTAAATAACACAAAATCCCTCTAAATTAGTCTGATGAACTTTCAAACAACAGAAATATAAGTGAGTCCTCCCATATCTGATTTGATTATCTGGACGGTATTTTATTTAATTACATAAGTTAAGGTTCAGACTTTGAAAAATTGTTGGATTAGTCAATTTCAGAAGAGTCCTAAACTCTTACGATAAACAAAAAGAAAATATAATGTACCTTTTTTTATAATGCACATTTTAAAACTTGTTATTCCAGAAGAGTTCTAATCATCTAGGTATAAAAGAGTGTTGAATACTACATCAAGGGACACCTGGGTGGCTCAGTCAGTTAAGCATCTGCCTTCGGCTCAGGTCACGATCCCAGGGTCCTGGGATGGTGTTCCACATCAGGAGCCTACTTCTCCCTCTGCCTGCCACTCTCCCAGCTGTGCTCTCTGACAAATAAATAAATAAATAATATTTTTTAAAAAAATGACTACTACATTAAGTTACTCAAATAACAAGAGTGCTAAACTAGAAAAGCTCCAAAGATCTCAACAAAGAGAAGCAGGCATATCAAAACCTTTATCTTTTTAATGTTTTTTAAAATTCATTTTGCAATTACAAACTCGCTTTTCACTGAAGTATTTATTCAATTTTTTTAAGGTTTTTATTTATTTATTTGTCAGAGAGAGAAAAAGCACAAGCAGGGAGAGCGGCAGGCAGAGCAGGCAGAGGGAGAAGCAGACTCCTTGCTGAGCAGGGAGCCCAACATGGGACTCGATCCCAGGACCCTGGGATCATGACCTGAGCTGAGGGCAGATGCTTAACTGACTGACCCACCCAGGCACCCCTTCACCGAAGTATTTAAATGGCTCCAAAATACAGAAATGGTAATGAGAGCAATGACATATACATGCAACATTATGCAGCCACTGAAAATGTTTATGAAGAGCTTTTAACATCATGGGAAGATGTCTGTTATCATAGCAAGTTAAAAGACTAAAATCCAAAATTCTATACATAATATAATCACAGCTACATTTTAAAAACTATTTACGAGAAAAAAGTATTGAAACAAAGTCAAGCAAAGTAGTAAAGGTAAAAAGTTTGAACAGTAGAAAAAGGGTTTTTTTTTCCATTTTATTCTTTTTCTATGTATTATGAGAATGGCTTTTAAAATGGAAAAAGTGTAACATTAATTTTTTTAAGTTTTATATAAAGATAATTCTGTAAGTTCACTTAGATTAATATTTTCATTATTGAGGTATGTACCATCCTGGTAAACAAAAATCCTACCAAGAAAAAAAAAAATTAAAGAAGTGATCAGACTATCACATTAATATTTTTTTAAAAAGATAAAAAAACATGAAACTTGGTAAAAGTTGGAAGAAACCAGACACATTTTTACCTCAAGGCTGATTATTTTAATATGACTACTGAATTTTAATAGAAACCATTAAAATCTCCTTCCTTGTAAAAAATCACAGATAATCACTCCACAAAAAGAATCAAAAACAAGCTGATACTGAATTTGTATTTTCCAAATCATACATGTGAGTTAAATCACACAGTAAAGGCTGCCAGCATTATACAGATAGCTTATGTTTAAAAAGTGTTCCTCATAGGCAAAACAGAGAAACAGTGTAGTCTCACTTGTGAAATATGATTGATTGAAGATTCCATCCTTCGTAGCTGGGATGCCTGAATATCCAGCATCTGTAGAACATTGTTGGCCAAGGTATTTATCAGATAGGCAACACTTGCTAAGGACTGGGTGGTGTAGGCTTTGGTTTCTTCTAGAGCTCGCTGCTTATCTGCTGACTAAGGGGGGAAAAAAAAACAATCATTAATTTAAAGATAACTCAGTCTATCAATCTACTCTACAAAAATACTCATCAAAACCATTGTTTCTGAATCTACACACCCTAGTTGAAAAGGTTCTGAATGTTAATTATTAATATCATGTAAACCTAACAACTACTGATTGAGTTGACTAATACTTTAATGTTGAATAGGTACCTCTTCGTATAAATGCAAAGAACATCCTATAGCCATTATTTAAAAAGTTAGTTCCATTGGATATTTTGAACAATGGCAGCAAATACATAGCTTATCAAGATTACTGTTTGGAAAGGTAGCACTGATTTGAACGTATAAATTCTGGCATCCATTTTTCTACTTTCCTGAATTTGTCCTTTCCTTCCACTCTAAGTGTGAAATGTATCTATAATGTAATATCTCATTAAAGTAATAATAATGATAAAACAATTATGATAATGATAAGTAAAACTGACAAAGTAAATAAAAATGGGTAATAATCATGATAAATAATGAGAAATTAAAATAAAAATAATTAAAGGGGCGTGTGAGTGGCTCGGTTGGTTGGGTGTCCTCCTCCTGATTTTGGCTTGGATCATGGTCTCAGGGTCGTGGGGTCAAGCCCCACATTGGGCTCCACGCTCAGTGTACAGTCTGCTTGAGATCCTCTCCCTCTCTTCCCCACCCTCTCCCCCCATCAATAAATAAAATAAATCTTTTAAAAAAATAAAATAAAAGATACCTTTCTTCTCAAGCATTTTAAGTGTTACAACTCTATGAGACATAAATTGCTAAGTATCAAAACAGAGTACACAGTAAAAAGTGGTTAATTATTTCCAAGGTCCCAAGGCAAAACAATGGTAAAGATACATATTCTATGCTGCTAAATGCTAGACACCATCTTCTTGTCCTAGTTCTAGAGAAAGACTGTGGTTCAGCAGAAAGTACACAAGCCTCTGAACCAGAAACCTTTTATCTTATGTAAGCTCTACTATTTGCTACAACATATCAATTTGGACAAAAGTAACAGTTTCTCAATTTCCTCAGTTACAAAGCAGAGGAAATAAACCTCTGTATCAACCATTCTAAGCAGTGTGAACACCAAATAAGATAATGAATGTAAAACCACTTTCTAAAACTACAAATCCTTCTATGTAACAACTGTCATTATCTCTCTGAGTGATCATTAACTGTTCAAAAGTCCACTATGTTCCACTCTCTTCTATACAGTATAACAGTCAAAATTAACAACCTAGATATGTTTTTCCAGGGAGAGCAAAATTATTTTTCTATTTTAATCCTTAGTAATTTCACTCTCCTCAATACTTGAATTAACAACAGAGTTGAAACCAAATTTGGCTGAAGATAAATACTTTTTAAAAAACACTATAAAGAGGGGCGCCTGGCTGGCTCAGTTGTTAAGTGTCTGCCTTCGGCTCAGGTCATGATCCCAGGTCACAGGATCGAACCTCACATCGGGCTCCCTGCCCAGTGGGAAGCCTGCTTCTCCCTCTCCCACTCCCGCTGCTTGTGCTCCCTCTCTTGCTGTGTCTCTCTCTGTCAAATAAATAAATAAAAATCTTAAAAAAAAAAAAAAGCACTATAAAGGCTTGTAGATTCTGATTGTGCATGTAAGGAGCTTGGAAGTCACCATTGCATCCTAACAAGTAAAAAGCTCAGCACAATGAAAAAAAAATCAACAACTTTTCTTGAATTCATAGTAAAAGCAGCAAGTCATTAACACTTTTCAGACATTACTCTAAATCAGAGTATTTACTATAGAGAATAATTCAAAATTAAAACACTTAATTTGATAATATACCTTCTTCAAAGGATCAAGAGGATATTTGGAAAGATGTAATCATTTTCAATGCACCTTTTTTTATATTGATAGTATTTGAGATTTTTTTTGAAAAACAAGTATCACTTCATGCTCTGCCTTTGTTCCTAGTCTATATATGAAATCATGTAGCTGACTGATGCTGTATCAAAGATATGAAAGTCCCTTTTATATTAAATAGACTTTGCGTATATCTACTTTTCTATGGAAGATTGAGGACCCTATAATGTAAAATGTATGAAGAAAACCTAAATAGAGATGCTGTTTGTAGCTGATATAACATTGATGTAAATCAACATAAAGTATGTATTCAGGGCATCATTCTTCTTCTGCAACGTAAAGTATGTATTCAGGGCATCATTGAAATAAGACAAAGGAACACTCTGAATCTTATAAACATATTGCTGTACCAATCGTTCTTTAGGAAAAAAAGCTGGCAATCCATTAAAATCCTGATGTATCTTCCTAATGGCAATTATGTCATAAAATCATGAATATATAGAAGTCATGAATATCAGCTGATGAGATTGAAACAAAAAAAATCTTCACAGATATCAAAGTATAGCTAACTCTTTCCTAAAAGGGCATACATTTACTGTACATCCATATTTACTAAATAGTTGGCCTCAGTCTTGAAAACCAAAGAAAGCACAACTCTTAGATCATTATATGAGAAGAACAAGAATGCTTCTTGATTGCTTGTAATGTTTTTTTTTGACCAGGGAGCACACAGTGGATTTTGAAGTACTTTATTTGAACTATGTGTGAATTGAATATATTTTATTTAATAAAACTATATGGTTTCTAATCTATTAAAAGAAAAAAATTATTCCTGGAACCCTCTGAGAGGAGAGGACACAGATGACATGATTACCTATACAGAAATCCAAAAGAACTGACGAAAGAACTCTTGGAGCTAATAAGAGATTACAGCAAGGTGGCAGGATACAAGTTAATATACAAAAGTCAATTGCTTTCCAGGAGTGAGCAAGTGGAATTTGACATTAAAAACACAATACCATTTACATTAATAACCAAAAATATAAAACACTTAAGTATATATCTAATAAAACATGTGCAAGATTGGGGCGCCTGGGTGGATCAGTTGGTTAAGGGCTCACGTCATGGTCCCAGGGTCCTGGGATCGAGTCCCACATTGGGCTTGCTGCTCAGCAGGGAGTCTGCTCCTGCCTCTTTCTCTCCCTTCCCCCTCATGCTCTTGCACACACTCTCTCTCAAAAAATAAAATCTTAAAAATTTTTTTAAATATGTGCAAGATCTATATGAGGAACATGGCAAAACTCTGATGAACAAAATCAAACAACTAAATAAATGGAAAAACAGTCCATGTATGGATTGGAAGATTCAATACTGTCAAGCTATCCATTCTTCTCAAACTGAAATATAGAGTCAAGGCAATCCCAACCAAAATACCAGCAAATTATTTTGTGTATATCAACAAACTGATTCTAAAATGTACAAGGGGAGGCAAAAGACATAGAATAGGCAATACAATATTGAAGGAGAACAACAAAGTTGGAAGACTAACACTACTCAACTTCAAGATTTACTCTATAGCTACAGTAATTAAGACAGTGTGGTACTGGTGAAAGAAGGGACAAAAAAGTTTCATGGAACAGAACAGAGAGCCTAGAAATAGACCCACATAAATACAGTCAATTGATCTTTAACAAAAGAACAAAGGCAATACAATAGAGCAAAGATAGGCTTTTCAACAAATTGTGTTGGAAAAACTGGACATCTAAATGAAAAAAAAAAGAATCTAGATACAGAATTTATACTCTTCTCAAAAACTAACTCAAAATGGATTACAGACATAAAAGTAAACTGTAAAATTATGAAACTCCTAGAACACAGGAGAAACTCCTAGAACGTAACACCCATATCTGGGTGACCTTGGGTATGGCAATAACTTTTAGATACAAAATCAAAGGCATGATCCATGAAAGAACTAATAAGCTAAGCTTCATTAAAATTAAAAACTTCTACTCTTCAGAAGACAATGTCAAGAGAAATAAGACAACAAATCATAGACTGGAAGAAAATATCTACAAAAGACATCTGATAAAGGACTGTTATCCAAAATATACAAACAACTCTTAAAAATCAATAGGAAAAAATTCCATTAAAATATGGGCCAAAGACATTCACGAACACCTCATCATAGAAGATATACAGATGGCAAATAAGCACATGAAAAGATGCTCCACATCATATGCCATCAGGGAATGCAAAATGGTACAGCCACTTTGGATGACAGGTTGGTGGTTTCCTACAAAACTAAACATACTCTTACCAGATGAACCAGTAATTCAGCTCCTTGGTATTTACCCAAAGGAGATGGAAACTCATGGGTACACAAAAACCTATACACGAATGTTTACGGTAGCTCTATACATAACTGCTGAAAGTTGGAAACAATCCAAGTCTGTCCTTCAATAGGTAAATGAATAAAAACTGTGGTACATCATACAATGGCATAAAGAAATGAGTTATCAAGCCATAAAAAGGCATGGAGGAACCTTACATGCATATTACTAAATGAAAAAAGATGAATCTGAAAAGTCTACATACTGTACGATTCCAACAATATGACATTCTAGAACAGGCAAGACTATGAAGACAGTAAATGATCAGTGGTTGCCAGGGGCCGGTCAGGGGAGGGATGAATAGGTGGAACACAGGGAATTTTTAGAGCAGTGCAAATACTCTGTATGATACCATAATGGATATGTGTCATTATACATTTGTCAAAACCCACAAAACGTAAAACAACAAGAGTGAACCCTAAAGTAAACTATGGACTTTGGGTGATAATGATGTGTCAACATAGGTTCATCAATTGTAACAAATGTACCAATCAGGTGGGGGGGTGTTGAAATCTCTGTACCTTCCTCTCAATTTTGCGGAGGATCTAAAACTGCTCTAAAAAAATAAAGTCTTAAAAACAAACATACAAACATACATTCCAGGATTCTGTTATCAGCTACTTTCAAGACAGGCATATCTATGTCAAATTTCACAAATGTTGATGTAAACAAAAGATGTATAAATTGAAACAGACTCTTAACTATAGAGAATAAATCTGATGCTTACCTCAGGGAGACAGGTTGGGGATTGGGTAAAATAGGTGAAAGGGATT